TTTTTTTTTTTTTTTTTGCCAATTGGAACAAATTTTAGACCAAATAGTAAAAAACGTTATCACTTTAATAGACAATTTTCATAAAAAAACGAAATCAAACGGACACCAAACTTTCAACATTTTCCATGAAAAATTATATCAATCAAATATAATTAATTACAATTCCCAATAAAATAATTTATAGGCAAATCAATTCTTTGTAAAACATTTTCTTTCCACCCATTTTCCATATTTGCAATCAAACGGACCCTTAGTTTTTATATTTGTTTTATGTATTTTCTTTAAGAAATTGTAATTGTTCATTTATAATCGGTTTTTTTAAAGAAATAAGGTCATGTTTGATTGTGTAGATTTTTCATGAAAAATGGAAAACAAATTCCATTTCCCTCCAATTTATGTGTTTGATAGGGTAAAAATTGCCAATAAAACTTTTCCCCCCACCCCTCTCATGCGCCTATTTCCTCAAAATTGGGAAAAGTTTTTCTAGGTGTTGCTGCCTTTTTTTTTTTACAATGAAAACAAATTTCATAACCAATTGTAAAAAAAAATTCACTTTAATGAATAATTTTTATATAAAACAAAATCAAACGAACACTAAACTTTGATAAAAAGTTATTTTTTTGGGGAAAATTTTTTTCATTTTTTTTTTTTTTTTGTTTTGTTTTTGGTAATGGTAACAAATTTTATAATAATAGTGAAAAAAATTATCACTTTAATAGACAATTTTCATGTAAAACAAAGTCAAACGAACACAAAAAGATTCAAAATTTAAAAATTTTCCAGATGGAAAATTATACCAATCAAACACATCTAATTAACAATTCCCTACAAAACAATTTTTAGACAGTTACTTTATCTGAAATTCATTTTCTTTCCACCCATTTTTCACCATTGTAATAAAACGGACCCTAAATTACTTTTGATTTTCTTGAGCACAAAGTTTAATTGATATAGTCTCATATAATTCACATATGTAAAAAATTACATTCGAACATATGTCTTGTGATAAGTGCACCACACACATGCAAATTACACTCGATTATTCTCAAATTTACCCTTTGATTTGAACGTGCAAATGGCACTCGATTATTCCCAAATCTACCCTTTGATTCGAGTAAAAATGTAAATCCTAGTTTGAGAGTTATTATTTTCAAACTCTTTAGTCTACATACTCATTTCAACCACACATTCATACGATAAAATATTTTGCATGTAAATTCAAAAAAAAAAATTTACTTTTTAACCACGCATTCTTCTAAAAATCATTATTCAAAACTCTAGTTTTTCTAAATAATGATTGTCAAACAAGGGCTAAACATGCACGATATAATAGCTTGCAGAAATACATACAAAACAAAATATATGATAACGCTAAAAACACTTACGTGTTTGATGGACATAACAAGCCCAACAAAAGAGCAAATACAATCTTCAGGGTTGTGACAAGTTTATGTATAAAAAGTAAAAAAAATTTTATATTTATATTCATCGAGTTGAAACATCAAAACGAGTTATCATTTTATATTTAGTTCATAACGTTCTCTGTTGTGTTTTCTTGATATCTAAGATTACAGTAACTCTCATCGCATTTGCTAGAATCCACGAATATATGATCATTATGATTGTGCCACTGTTTTGTAGAAAGACTTGACTCCATCACCGACGAAAGTTACCACAACACAAAAATATACAGAGCATTTGAGAATGATGGACGATATATCGTTGAAGCAAAAAAGTGTTGATAAATATTTCTGTCAAAGTAGATAATAATACCTCAAATGATAATACAAATAGAACTCAAAAAATATATGTAAAACACAAAACTAAGATGGAAGAATAAGAAGAGAATGAAGAAGATATGAATCGCATAGAATGCTATAATATATGTAAAACACAAAACAAATATGGAAGAAATGCTAAAATTTTACGGAGCACTTTCTTTTAATCCACTTCCCCTCTTACCAAACACACCTTTAATGATTTTCTCATTTTTATCTTATGAGGGTCAACACGCTTGATTAATTGTATTTCCAGTCCTTTTCCTCTCCGTCTGCCTCTCTCCCTCTCTCTAAACCCATAAGTACGCAAATGAATACAGAGGCGATTATTCATATCTCACCACACAAGTATTACCTATGAAATTAATGATAATGATTCTTGAATTTTATCCCCATGGAACCACCTTTATTGTCGCCCTCAATAACAAATGCCACCCTCTCTCCGACGCCGTCATCCCCCGGAGACGGCGGAGGCGGAAACTTTGACAACGCATGGTATGGACACATTCAGTACCTGTTCAACATCTCGATCATCGGAGCTCTCACTTGTCTATTGATCTTCGTTTTTGTGAAGCTCCGCAGCGACCACCGCCGCGTGCCGGGTCCAACCGCCTTCGCCTCCAAGCTGCTCGCCGTGTGGCATGCCACCAGTCGCGAGATTGCGCACCACTGTGGAGCTGATGCCGCCCAGTTCCTCCTAATCGAGGGTGGCAGCTCCGCCATCCTCCTCCTCCTTGCCACCCTCGCAGTTGCAGTTATGCTTCCCCTCAATATCTACGCCGGGAAAGCCCCAATTTCTGATCAATTCTCGAAGACCACCATAAATCATATTAAAAAAGGTTCCCCTTTGCTCTGGTTCACTTTGTTTTCGTTGTTGTAGTTGTTCTTTTGGTACATTACGGTATAGATGATATTGAAAGTAGGTTGAAAATAAGCAGGTTTCGTGATGGGTAAGGGAATCCAAGGATTCCAAGCGAGCCCAGCTCGAATTTAAGTGCCATTTTTACTATAATGGTTCATGGGATTCCCAAGACTTTGGGGTTTGATAGCACTCCGTTGGTGGAGTACTTTCAGCATAAGTATCCTGGTAAGATTAATAGAGTGATTGTGCCCATGGATTTGTGTGCATTAGATGATTTAGCAACAGAGTTGGTGAAGGCGAGGGAGAACATATCCAAGTTGGTGGCAAACATTGAATCGCGGGGGCTGGTGGATGAGGGTGTGTTTGTTGATGATGGACCTGAAGAAAGGGGGGTGTGGGAGAAGCTGCGTTTTCTTTGGAGGAGGTTGAAGGATTTGTGGTATAGAGTGGTTGATGAACTTGGTTTCTCTGACGAGGAGAAACTGAGGAAGTTGCAAGAGTCAAGAGCTGATCTTGAGATGGAAATGGCAGCTTATAAAGAAGGGCGAGCAAGGGGTGCTGGGGTTGCATTCGTGGTGTTTAAGGATGTTTACACCGCTAATAAGGCAGTTCAGGATTTTCGCAATGAGAAAAGGAGGTGGGTTGGGAGGTTTTTCACGTTGATTGAGTTGCAACTACAGAGGAACCAATGGAAAGTAGGGAGAGCTCCGTTGGCCAGTGACATATATTGGAATCATTTAGGATCCTCGAAATTGTCACTGAAACTGCGGAGAGTGATTGTTAACACGTGCCTGCTGTTGATGCTTTTGTTCTTCAGTTCTCCTCTAGCTGTGATTAGTGCCATAACAAGTGCTGCAAGGATTATGAATGCAGAAGCAATAGATAATGCTCAGACGTGGTTGACTTGGTTGCAGAGTACAAGCTGGTTTGCAACCATAATATTTCAGTTTCTTCCGAATGTTATTATTTTCGTCAGCATGTATATAGTGATACCATCAGCTCTTTCTTATCTTTCAAAATTTGAACAGCATCTTACCATGGCGAGTGAGCAGAGGGCTTCATTATTGAAGATGGTTTGTTTTTTTCTAGTTAACCTTATTTTCTTGCGAGCTCTCGTCGAGTCATCACTAGAGAGTGCTATTTTAAAGATGAGTAGATGTTATTTAGGTGGTGAAGATTGCGAACGAATCGAACAATATATGAGCTCGTCTTTTTTGTCAAGATCATGTCTCTCGTCTCTTGCATTTCTGATTACAAGCACTTTCTTGGGAATATCTTTTGATCTACTGGCTCCAATACCTTGGATAAAAAAGAAACTTCAAAAGTTTCATAAGAATGACATGCTGCACCTGGCACCAGAACGAAGCGAAGATTATCAGTTACAAAATCAAGATGTAGATTCCTTGCAGAGACCCCTGATATCTGAACGGGCATCTGGAGTCTTGGTAGGGAATGGTGCATTTTCAAATGGTTCTTCCCCGACTGCAATAGATTTTTCTGGACATGACCTGTCTGATTATCCTCCCTCCAGCAGAATCTCACCAGTACCAAAGCAGACATTTGATTTTGCGCCACTTGTGCGTTGACATGTTCCTTGTTTCTATGCTGCTGTCCTTTTTGGTAAATGGAGACTCTATGAAACTTCAAGCAATATTCACACTTGGATTGGTAGTAATGTATAAACTCTTACCCTTGGAGCACGATGGTTTTCAGCCTGCTTTATTGCAAGGTATACAGAATGTTGATAGTGTTGTTGATGGACCTCTAGATTATGAGACTTTTTCACGACCAACATTTGAATGGGATACATGTAATTCATGATTTCTGCAATTCCAATATGGAAATTGGTTCCTTTCTTTTACATTGAACTGATCTTCATGTTTCTATCTTATATCTTTTAGTAATTTATTAAGTAAATTAAAAGAGCATGTTCAGCAAAGCGTAAAATAAGTTGCTCATTTTGAATAATAACTCTTACCATACTATCAAATTAATAGCTTATTTCCAATTTAGATCAATAAATAAGTTACATATTTTGAGAACCAACTTATCTGGTTGAAAGAGAACTTTTAAGCTTAGCCAAACACGACGCCAAAATGATTATTCGTGTACTTGTTGAGGGGAAAGCATGGGAGCCTTGTGTCTGTATTTTGTTTGGGTTACTGAGGTTCTTGATCGCTCTTTGAATACGGCGACCACTTTGAATTCATTGAAACAATTCTCACGTAATTTAATCGCGCGCTGTAATGGGTGAACAAATGCTTCCAACCACTACTAAAAGAAAACTCATTCATCAACAAAGTATGAAATTGGATTTAGCAATGTTATCCATTGTCCAGTCTAGTACACCAAACAGTCTCTGGACATTCTTGCTGCAACCCGTGAAAAAAACATGCAGCAACATCCATTTTCCAGCCGAGTACAGCAAAGATTCTCTAGACGTTCTTGCTCCAGCTCGTGAAAAGAACATCCAGCAAACAGAAAGGGGAACTGTACATTAAGCACATTCACGCTTGTTCCTATGCACGCAATTTTTTCTGCATACTGTGCAAGAATAACTATAAACGAGACGAAAAAACAATATTTCCAACTTAATTCTCAAACCAAATACAACATAAGAGCATACAAGATCCAAGGTTGATCCTAAGACGCATGAAAGTTTTCTGTCACGATCCAAGTCCCAGTCAAATACGATATCCATTCATCCAGTTTACAATCAATATACGATCAACTAGGGTTTTATAGTAACAGAATTTCAGAAGGTCATTCATCAGCATCATGAGATTCGGTGTCAACTGCCTCCAGTCTTTTATAGAAGTCCTCTAACTCTTCCTTACCAAACCAGTCATCTTTCATCTATAATGAAGCACCAGAACAAAACACACTTCATTAATACGGAGAAAACTAAAAGAGCATGTTTAGCAAAGTTAAAAAATAAGTAAAAGTTATTTAGTAAATTTTTGCCCTTCACACATTTAGCCCATGTTTGGCTCATGTTTATAAACTATTTATAAGCACTCGTGCCACTTTTTATCAACACATTTTGAGAGACTCACAAGTATTACCCACTTTTCTATTGCATGTTTCTATTAAATTACAATTTAAACAGTTTATAATCACTTCCCAGACATGCTTAAAGCTGTACTTTTCTTATTTTTCAGTAAAAAGTTACTTGTTTCAAAGTACCTCTAACATGTCAAAATAAGTTACTTATTTCTAATTACAATATAATAAAAACATTATTTATTTCAAAATTATTTACTAACAAATAAACTTTTTAAGCTTAGCCAAACACGCTTTGCATTGTTCGAGGATAATGGCAAGATAGTGGAAAAAAATAACTCACAAAGTAAGGGTAGCCATCAGAAGTGCTAAAATTTTCTGGAGTGTTCTGTAAGAATAGGTTAGCATAATACAGAACGAAAATGCCACATTCCTCACTGTTTGTCTGCTGTGGAACCTAAAAATCGTTTGTTCAATTGGTTAAATTGTCTAGTTCAAATATGGTATCAAGAATAAGCATGAAGAGCGAATCTACCTTAGGAACCAAAAGAGGAATTTTTCTAATTAGTTTCTTGTCCAGTGGCCTCTCCTCTGTTTCATATATGTCTATGATAAGCCTGTGGAAGGAGATAATACACATGCAAATATATTAAAATAAAATGCGGAGGGAGGCATGTCTTTGAAACTATTACTAATATTAATTTGAAAACTACCTTCTTATTAGAGGTTCAAGCCCCCTGTCCAATTCACGCAGTGAATTCAATAATAAAATGCACGGATTTCTTGTTTTTGACTGTGAACTTTCACCCAAGTGACAAAAGATTACAAGATACCAGTGAGACCTGAAAAAAGGCATCTCAATCAGCAATTACAGGGTACTAGGATAAACTTAAAATGAAAAATTACTTGGAAGAACACGTACCATAAAACAATCGGAACCAAAACATATTCTTTTGAGAATATGTTGATTTTCTTAATCCACGTCAGCACCCTTTTTCTCCAATGATCATTTGTGTACATGGAAAACCATAAGCATTCCATATACGTACACAAATTCCTTTTCTCTTCAGGAGAGTCCTCCCATATTTTCCTACATATTCCACATTTCATTCACATAATATAGCACATCAAACTACTGGACAGTTCTACAAATTAAGAGATAATTCATAACACTTACAGAAAGCAGCGTTGGAATAATGCGTCATTTATTTTTCCTCGTAGGTTGGAGGTTGTGTTGCCAACCCCCCTTGATCGTCTAGCAGGACAAGAACGACGGGCAGGAATACCTTCCAAGTCACTTGAATCAGTTTTGTGTTTACATTTTCTCTTTCGACATTTGCGTGGACTTTGACGTTCCTCCACAATTTCTTCTGCAGAATCCCCTTCTATTACACAATTTGAAAATCAATGTAAATTGGAAGTTGAGAATCCCACTGATGAAGGCATGCATCTTTACTTAAATCATATTAATGATTCAGTGTTGATCATGAACACAAGACAAAGATAGGCCAAACCACTTACCCTATCTTTCAATGTAGAAAACCTAAGGTTCAATAAAGAAAATAAAGGATCAGCAATGTGTCAGTAGAATCACATTTGCCTGCAATTTTGCCTCTGTTTGTGTAAACATATTAGGAACTATTTAGGATAATTAGTATTGAGTCCCACGAAATGTGTGGATACTAAATGGGCAGTCATTGAATATGTGATTGAAATTAATGTTTCATTTTGACTAAATAGAAAAATGAACTTATAAGTAACTTTTTAGCTTAGCTTAACACAGGCTTTATACACAGACTGAGATTGGACTCAGATTTGAGACTGTAAAAGCAAGTTTGGGAATTTTTTCTAATTAGTTCAAATTATAAATAGATAGAACGAGTTGCGGATAAGTGGGCATTACTTGTGGTCCAACGAAACATGTGGATAAAAAGTGGTTTGATTAAAAGTGTTTATAATTAAACACTTGCCAAACAAGGGCCATATCTTCCAAACAGCTTCCAATTCTGATGGTGTTACATCCTCGTACCCACATTTCCACGTATAACCAGACTTACTGCCCAATTAGGGTCAAGGCTGGCAGTTACATGGAATAACCAGCTGCATTTTAATCGTTAAGTACCAAAAAATGACTTCTCAAGTTCCACATGATGCCAGATGACTGCTTTTCAATTGTATCGGATGATAGATCATGTAGAGAAATTACAAGTACCAAAGTAAGTGACTATTAAAAGCAAGACAGCTAAGCATTCATAAGATACAAGTACTATATGTCTCTATAAAAGTATATCGAGAAAGTCTTTTTTCATTTTTCTTAATCTCATTTCTCCCCATAATGACAAACAAGTTTAATTGTGCTTCCAAAAGATATTCTTGGACCTGAACAGAATGTCAAGCTTTTTCCTCATGCCTACCCTTAATATCAGTTCAATTTAGAAATTAAGATCTTTCGTTAGTTTTTACACATTTCTCTTCCAAAACAACTTCAGAGGCAAATTCTTTTTAGACACCATATACGAAGTTTACGAATAAGATTGAAACATAAATAGTTTCTTTACTGCAGAAGCTTGGAATCTCAAGAACATGAAACTTGATTCGGGGGGAGGGGGATACAAAACCCTTATTTAGAATATTGACGATGTCATCAAGTTACCAGCCGTATGAAGTAACTCAGCAGTTTGCCTCCTTGCAACTCTTCCTCTAGATCTTTGTCCACGGGGAATGCATGAAAACAGTGACTGACTGTTTTCTGTCTTCTCATGTCCACCTAATATCGCAACAAGCAAAGCAATGTATCATACTCAAATATCTTCACCATTCATCGATATATATGTCAAAGATCCATTAGCCACAATTGATCGTCATCCGACAATATATATATATATTGCATGCACTGATGCACAAGGGAATGGGTGATGGTGACAGTAAGCTGTGAATTGGTGGTTGGCTGTTTGGGTTATAATTGGGCTGAAGAAAGAGACTGAATCAAGAAGGGTTTGAACGAAGAGTTTGCAGGGAAATGGGAGCTGTCGTATTTGACACCGAGAAACTTAAAGTCTGTTTTTAAATAGCTCACGAGGAGAAAATCAGATGAACTGTTCAATTGCATAGGAAAGATTTTGGAACGAATAAGAAAGGCTCTCCACAACTTTCTGCAAAGACGCAAAATGTTTTTGCAGATATGTTGAGATGCTGAAATAAAGATAGGATGAAGAATTAGAAAAAGAAGAAACAATCTCAAACTGAGACAAAACACATCAAATATGCCTTTTTCCAACCTCTCTTCTTAGATCACGTATTGCACACATATAGAAAGAGAATGCCAAGAATACTTGCACGCTAGCCTAAATTAGAGTCTAGTTTCAAGACTGTCAATTTCACCAAGTTCTATTGGACTAAGTAGGATGAGCTTATAGACAACAACCAAACACTAAATAGACGTCACAATTATGACCAAAATTAAAACAATACAAAATTACTGAAACACACCTTGCTTAAAGACTAAGAACATAAACTTTTAGGAAGTTTTCTTAATGGATATGGGTGGAGTATTTTTTTTATAAAAGGCAAAAAACGAAATACAAGCTTAAGAGGGGGGGCACATAACCTATACATTGAATTAATGAAAATAAGTGCAGCAAAAATAACCAGTCTAGCAGATTGGAAGCTAAAGGTTTAAGGAAAATGCATTTCAATGTGATGTTGTACTCCTGGTCAACATACTTCATGTGTAGTATTTTGTAGGCTCGTGATCACTTTCACAGTCGCTCTCATTTTCAAAATTATGGCCTATGTTGCTCAGACTCTCCATTTTTGGAGAAAGTATCCGTGTAAACAAAACACGACAAGGATAAGGGTATGGGATCCATGTCGGATCCTTTAATCAGTAGAGAATTTTTTATATCGTTTTTATTATTTTAATATTGGATTTGAAATGATTTCTAATTTGTATGTCAAATTTCTAGACTTGAAATGAAAACCAAGTGAAGTGTACAAGTTGCAAATGAGGTGTTTCTTTTAAAGATGATGAAAAAAATATTTGGTCTAAGTGATCATGAGATAATGATTAACTAGTACTAAGAATTTGAATGCTTGCAACATGTAACTGATTTAGTTTAAAAGAACAAAAATTTCCAGCAAGATCATTGTCATTACCGGAATTGCATTCTGTACTAAAAGACATGCTGAAATTCTAATATATCAGACAATTTATAAAGAGGAAATGAAGAGTTCCGTCTACACATGATAGTGTGATTAATCTTGATGATCACGAGATGGACATTTACTAGAATTTGTGAGGAAAAACTTGGATTATTTACAGGAAGGAACTAATCTAGTATAAAAGATAAGTTCTATACAAGATCTTTGATATAACTGAAAATCTGAAATCTTGTTCTATGATGAAAATACAGGCAGAAATTTATTTCTCATATTTGTCTTCTCCTCGCGAAAAAGATAGCACCCGCACAGCTAATACGACACCATTAATGAATCAAAAAATAAAATACAACCAACCCACACGAAATAAACATAAGCTAGATTCCAAAATCTTCCAACGCCACGAAATTTAAACACGGAATTGGGGAAAAAGAAACACGCCGATATCTACACTTTACAGTATTTTTTTTGTATACAACAAATGAAAAGAAAACATACCGTCTTCTTGATCCAAATTTGTCTCCACTAAACCCTTGTCCGATTTTTCACCTTTCCCTGGTTTTCAAGAAGAAATAAAATATTCAGCAAACCCACATTGTTAAAAAAGGGAACAGGAAACGAAATCATTAGAGAATTTCGACATAAACCCAGAATTAAAATCTAATTTTTTTGCCTGAAATTTGAGATAAGATCTTCCTGAGGTAACAGTGGCGTTCCGTTTCATCAGTTTTCGTCCTTTCATACGGAACTAGATTGACATCCATTGGTGTATTTGTTTTAAGAATTAACCTGTTTTAAAAGTGTGCTTGTTTGAGCCCCATTCTTTTGGGTTGAATTGATGGTGAAAGTAGTGATTATTTCAAGAAGGTTTAGTTGAAATATATATATATAGTGAGACGTTTGGTGTGGTAGAATTTTTGAAAAGTTATAATTTAATTTGAAAAAATTAGATTTTTAGTTAGGGTCATTGTTTTATCAGAATAAATTTTGTAATAGTGAATTTTTAGAAAGCATATGGTTATTGATGCTACCAAAAATTCGTACCTAGATTGACCAAAATCGGATGGTTGAACTCTGCACGCTATGATCTTCAATACATGAAACAAAGGAGTCGAGGTGTATTTTCGTCGTCCCTCCGATACTTAAGTCAGAGAGAGGAATGACAGAATATTGTATACTTGCGTATTATTGAAAAAACGTATCTGAATAATAATATTGTGTTATGTATTTATAGGGGGAGGCGGAATCCTAAAAAGACTCAACTTCCCATATTAAAAGCGTTGTTGTTGTGCTAGGATTGTGTTATTTGAGTTAGGGTGAAACTCAAGGCAACTGGGAGTTTAGTGTCCGAATTGAACTAATATTTTAGGAGCACGTGAGACGAGGGGGAGGACACGTGAGCAAAGGGACGAGGTTGCGCATATTGATGGGGCCCGACCTGGAAACCATAAAACCGAAATAATGGGATGAGGTCGGGCCAAGTGGGTCAAGCAGTACCCGACCTCGTAATGCTCGATCTCAACGGTGGGCTGGAGCCCATTTAAGTCGGGTCAAGGTCGAGCTCGGGTTTAGTACCATCAGTTATAAAGTAATAAATAAATTTAGATTTACGTATAAAATACTTTATTACGAGGATGTATAATTGATAATGATTTTTTTTTAAAAAGGGAGTTTCGAAATATGAAAATCAAATAAGAGCTAATTTTTTTTATCAAAATTGATGAATATATGATTAAAAGGTTGTGGATCCAGAAAATATGTAGTTAAAATTAAATATTGACTTTTATTTAGATTAAAATTTTAATTTTAATCCCTATTAAATATGAACTAGTTTTTTTTAATATTTTGCATCATTTTTAAAAAGTGTTTTGTCTGATTTAGATAATTTATTGCCACTGGGAGATATGCCCTGGGTTGAATTGATGGTGAAAGTAGTGATTTTTTCAAGAAGGTTTAGTTGAAATATATATATATATAGTGAGACGTTTGGTGTGGTAGAATTTTTGAAAAGTTATAATTTAATTTGAAAAAATTAGATTTTTAGTTAGCATCATTGTTTTATCAGAATAAATTTTGTAATAGTGAATTTTTAGAAAGCATATGGTTATTGATGCTACCAAAAATTCGTACCTAGATTGACCCCAATCGGATGGTTGAACTCTGCACGCTATGATCTTCAATACATGAAACAAAGGAGTCGAGGTGTATTTTCGTCGTCCCTCCGATACTTAAGTCAGAGAGAGGAACGACAGAATATTGTATACTTGCGTATTATTGAAAAAACGTATCTGAATAATAAGATTGTGTTATGTATTTATAGGGGGAGGCGGAATCCTAAAAAGACTCAACTTCCCATATTAAAAGCGTTGTTGTTGTGCTAGGATTGCGTTATTTGAGTTAGGGTGAAACTTAAGGCAACTGGGAGTTTAGTGTCCGAATTGAACTAATATTTTAGGGGCACGTGAGACGAGGGGGAGGACACGTGAGCAAAGGGACGAGGTTGCGCATATTGATGGGGCCGGACCTGGAAACCATAAAACCGAAATAATGGGATGAGGTCGAGCCAAGTGGGTCAAGCAGTATGGACCCGACCTCGTAATGCTCGATCTCAACGGTGGGCTGGAGCCCATTTAAGTCGGGTCAAGGTCGAGCTCAGGTTTAGTACCATCAGTTATAAAGTAATAAATAAATTTAGATTTACTTATAAAATACTTTATTACGATGATGTATAATTGATAATGATTTTTAAAAAAAAAAAAAAACAGGGAGTTTCGAAATATGAAAATCAAATAAGAGCTAATTTTTTATCAAAATTGATGAATATATGATTAAAAGGTTGTGAATCCAGAAAATATGTAGTTAAAATTAAATATTGACTTTTATTTATATTAAAATTTTAATTTTAATCCCTATTAAATATGAACTAGTTTTTTTAATATTTTGCATCATTTTTAAAATGTGTTTTGTCTGATTTAGATAATTTTTTGAAAATAGAATTATAATAGTTTTTAAAGAAAAATGATGAAGGTAGTTTATTCGAGAAATTCTACTATTAATATTCTCGTAAAATCGACTTGAAACTCTTTTTGGTAGATTTTGATAACATCGATGAAACATGTGGTTAAAATGTTATAAAAAAAAGTGAATCCATTAAATTTATAATTGAAAACGAGTTTGAAAACAAATTTAGGACCAAACAATGACTTAGGTTTTCATATTTTTGTGTTGATCGTTGCTTTAATAAGGTTGAACTCCAACTTTAAGGGTCCTCCACTGCCTCGTCCCTAGAGCATTGTGGAGGAAGTAAATAACGGGATGTGTCTCGGCAGGTCAGGGTACAAGAGCTGTCATACCGGTGCTCATAAAGAGTCCAATTACATACCTTGTAAAGGGCATGAATCGCAACCTCACACTGCGGCTGCCACTCAATTGAAACTACCTCACTCCCGTTCTTTGTGTTACTGAGCTATGCTAAGGTTCATCGGTGCTTTTATATGTAAGAGGTTTGATTGCCCATCCACGTCTCATCTCTTAATATCACAGTTGTTATACATTATGTTTGAGTTCAATTTTTTTCCAAAAAATATTTTCATTCATGCAATTTTTTATAAAATAATTTTATACATAATCGCAAATTTTTTTTTTCAATACGTATTTTTCAAAAAAAAAATAACTATATCAAAACCTTTTTTCCCCATAATATAGGGCTCAAAGAGGGTCTACATCTGGAGTTTGGTACACTTGGGAATAATAAAAAATTATTTTGTAGTTTTTTGTCACAATTATAATCAACTAAACTTTGGTGATTGATCTAGACATGAATAATTATTTGAAACAAGTATGCACAGATCCTCATACGAACATTTATACGTTTAATTTGTTTTTAAGTCTTTTTTTTTTCTTTTGTAATTTTTTAATTATTAAAAAAATATTGAGAAAAATGTAATTTAAAATTCTACAAAAATTAAAATTCTGAAAAATAAAATTATAACAAAAATTAGAAAAAAAAATTTGTTTTAGCTCTTAATGATTGTTTACATAGATTTTTTTTAAAAAAAATATGAATGCGAACAAAAATATTTTAAGTTAAAAGTCATTATTTTTAATTTTTATTTTCAATTTTTTGTTGATAACATATTAACATAAAATTGTTCTAATTTACCAACTAATTAAATTTAATGAAATAAAATGTTATAAAATAATTTTTCAAAAGAATAAAAAATTAGCAAAAAAATTTTTTTTTTTTTAAATATATAAGAAAATATTTCATTTTTTTTTTTCATAATGACGATTTTAAATGGCTAGAACGATTTGTTTTTGGTAGTTGTTATTTTGAGGATGGTTGTGATTTTGGAGTTGTAGACGTTGTGGCATGATATGGTAGGTGGCACCATGAGTCTTAAAAAATATGAGTCATGTTATTCAGTCCACCAGCATCAATCATCAATTTAAGTGGCAACTGTGTAACACCTATCAATTTGAAAATATTATTTTTGTTTTGAGTCATTTACCTGTCTAATTAATTTTGTTGATAGAATCTTATCAGTTTGCGTTGAAGATGATTTTTTAAATACAATCCGTTTTACCCAGGTAAGAAAATTTTTAAGTAATTAACGGTTAAGGATTGCGTAATGGATGTTGGAGAAGAAAAAGATTTACCTTTATTTTTGTTTTTCGTTACTTCTCTTAAACTATTCCAGCATCTGTTTGACATTCATTAAATCAAAACATTTTTTCTCAAACTCATTTTCAGCCACACACACTCGCATAACAATCTTTTTTGACACATAAATTCAAAACATTTCTTACTTTTTAATCATACATTTTCCAAAAAACACTATTTCAAATCTCTTTTTCCAAAAAAAAAAAAAAAAAATCATTAAAATTTAAAATAGATTTCAAATATGGCTTAATTGTTTTTATCGAAATTGAAAAAGATCATTATGCCGTTCTTAAAAATGATGAAAATTTCAGTAAACTTTAAATTAACGATTTTTCTGATGAAAACCATTCAAATGTCATTCAGTAGCTTATTTACCCAAATGTTGGGGATCATACAGTAAAAAATGATAGGTTAAGGATCCATTTACACTTATAAAAAGATTAGGGACCATACGTGCAACTTTCCCATTTCTCACCATCACGTGTATTTTGTGTTACGGTGTCAAGTGATTGAGCCAACCCAAAGCTTGGCTCGTTGACATTAGGGTCTTACCGAAACTGTGCCACAAATGTCTGAAAAAGAAATACGAATAAAATAAAAAACATACAGTTCGTTTGATTTGTATTTCGATTTTCAAAGGTCATGGACTTCACTGTCAAAGTTGAAAGTCTCAGGACCTATTTTCACTTTTCAAGATGGTTAGAGACCCAACGCAATTTTCTTAGGGAGAAATTAACGTAAGTTTGGCTCAATTTATAAATTGTTTATAAATATTTAAGCCATTTTCTATCTATATATTTGAAATCAAATATTACCTATTTATCTATTACTTATTTATATTTATCTAAAATTTAAGTTGCTACTTCCCAAACATGCTCTTATGGATAGAAAAATCCCTGTTTGAGATGAATTAAAAAGTCAACAATTAATTATGTCAGTGATCTACAACTTTTCAATTACATATTTCATCAATTTTTATCAAAATCTATTAAAAGTCTAATTTTAATTTACATCAAACGGGGGCTTAAACTGAATAGTTAAGCCCTCTTTGATTCTCGTTATTCCCAAAGTATATTTTATTATCTTACTTTCAACCACACATTTTCAATAAAATAATATTATACGCAAATTCAAAACTTTTCATTATTTTTAAATCACACATTATTTATCAATTTATTCAAAATGTATTCTTACAGTAAAATGGAAAACTAACATGCCCTAAATTGCATATTTATCATAGCAATTTCCCTAAAAAAAATTAATTTTCCACACAAAAATAAATAAAAATTGGGTAATCGGAAATCCATTGTTAGCATGAAACTCAAAAGAAATTTTGTTCGAGTTAATTAAATCATCAATCACCAACATTTGGGTTCGGTTACTACTTGCTTACCCAGAAGTAAATGGTTACCAAATGCTCACCCACGTTCGAAAAAAAATTACCCATCCATCACCCGTTTCGCTTTTGTCCATCCAAGCAAAAATCTCTACGTGGCTGACGGAAATCTTACGTGGCCACTAACACCGTTAAAAATTGACTAGTGGATATTAATTAAAACGATTTCTTCCCAAAATTTGAATGAATCGTCATTTACTTTCTTCAATGTTTTCTCCCCAATCCTCTATACACTTTCTCCACAAACAAAGCTCATTTCAACACATTGCATCTGGGAAGATTTTCATCAGTTCAATCCTTAAGCGAAATTGCTCCAAATCCATCTCCAAATTGAAAACCTATCAGATTTATAGGAACTCTAGATTCAAAAAAAATAATAATAATAATAATAATAATAATCAAATTGATCCAATGCCATACTCGTTTCTTGATAATGAGGAACATGAGTGACCACAATGTCTTGAACTGGTAGGCAACTATAATGTTGATGAAGAAACATCATTGGTGGAAGTAGAAGATGGACCACAAGCAAGTTTTTTCAAATCTTTTTTGATGAAGATGGACCAACTATAATTGGTCGGTAGTTTGTTGTTGTCCACGTTATTTCACAGTCTTAGACGAGGGACCACGTGCTTTATTGTATATTTTGGCACTTTTTTTTCTTCTGAATCTTAGCCTACTATATAAGTTTGTCCTCCATTATTTTAGTTAAGTCATCTTTTACCGTAGGACTTTAGGTACTGCACAAGCTCCTGAGTATTGATGGATGATTTGGGATTCGTTTGTAGTGGCCATTTTAAGGACTACATCATCATTTTTAGGAATGTATCTAGGGGCCTGTTTGGTAGGGATTCTCATTTTCTACAGTAAATCAATTCTCAATTTCTACCACACATTCTTCNAATTCTCATTTTCAACCACACATTCTTCAATAAAATAATATTTTCTATCACATCAATAATCTTATCTTCTTTTTCAACCACACATTTCCCATCATATCACTATTCAAAATCAATTCTTCCCCCCAAAAAATCCCTACCAAACAAGCTCTAGGACTTTAGCTTTATGAATGTCTGCATTTCGTGTGGATATACGTGTACTGACTACTTCATTTACTTGTTTATTTGCAAATAATATAGTCGAAGAAGATGAAGTGGTAGCTGAGGAATACAAATTCACTGACTCAGGAGACGATGTTAATGATGATATTTTCATTATGATAAGAATGAAAATGAACGGATTTTGGTGGGATTAAATGCAGATCACACCATCGATCTTTTGAATGCTGGGGACGAAGATTTAGAATCAGAAGACGCTTATTGTCCAAGTGAGGAGGAGTTGCACACCGACTATTCTTCTAGTGAGGAAAATACTTTTCATTTCTCCGTCTGTGATGCCAAGAAGGAGAAGTTCAATCCGCAGTTAGAGGTGGGAAAATAGTTCAAAAATATCGAGGAGTTTAGGCAAGCTGTAAGGAATCATAGCGTAGCTACTAGATGCAATTTTAAATTCAAGCCTAATGAAGAGTTTAGAGACCAAGCCATAAGCAAATTAGGTTGTACATAGAGGATTTGGGCTTTATGGAATAAGAAGAAAGAATGCGTGCAAATAAAATCTAAAAATTATGAGCATACTCGTGTTAAGGGCAAAACAAATAGACATTGCACTGTCAAATACATAGCGGAGAGGTATTTAGATACCTTCAAAGTTGACCATGATTGGAATATAAGCTTATTATAAAGGCTGTAAATGATGATCTGAAATTGACAATTAATAAGGTTACAGCATTGAGAAGTAGAAGATATGCAAGACTAATGATACAAGGATCCGACGAGCACCAGTTTTTATTGCTTATGTCATTTGCTGCTAAAATTTTGAGAACCAATCTCGGGTCTACATGCATTGTTGTTATGCATGCTTCAAAGTTTCAAGGTGTTTATATTTTCTTAGAAGGTTGCAAGAGAGGGTTTTTAGTAGGTTGTAAGCAACTTCTGGGGTTGGATGGGTGTTTTTTGAAGCAGTGGGGTTAGATGCTAATGATTGTATTTATCCAGTAGCATGTGTTGTAGTGGAGAGGTATAATGCTATTACTTGGAGGTGGTTTATGCTACATCTAGGTAAAGATTTGAAGATTGTGAATAGCAATGAATGGACCTTTATGATAGATAGGCAAAAGGGTTTACAGAGTGTGATAGATGATTTGTACCATGGGGCGGAACATCGGTTTTTTGTTAGACACACGTACACTAATTTCTTCAAAATTGATTTTAAGTGTTTGGTACTAAAGGAATATTTATGAAAGGCTGCAAAATCGACAATAGTGCCTGATTAGTTGTTTTAGATGGGTAAGATTGAGAAGGAAAGTCCTGCGGCGCTTAATTGGTTAAAGAAAAGGCATCCAAGTGAATGGAGTAAGGCTTATTTTTTTACAACGGTAAAGAGTAACATACTTTTGAACAACTTATGCGGAGTGTTCAACAATGTTTTGTTGGAAGATAGAGAGAAATCCATATTGACAATGTTGATTGATTTGCATATAAGCTTCATGAAGAGAGTATGAGCAATGAGAGACAAGATGAAAAGAGTAATAGGGCTTTTATGACCTAAAGTGCAACAAAAACTTATGAAAAATGTTGAATTAGCCGAGGCTGTGAGGTGGATTGGTCCGAAGGAGCACGGTCTTATGTTCAATGCTCTAGTGGGGAATTTGTTGTTGATCTTGAGAATAAGACTTGTGGATGTAGGAGATGAGATTTGTCAGAGATTCCTTGTGCTCATGCAGTTGCTGCTATTATTGACACAAGGGATGAGCCATGGAAGTACGTGCATGAGTGTTATAGATTGACTTCATATATGAGTTGTTATGAGAATATTATAAACCTTACTAATGGGACAAAATTATGGCCTCAAGTAGATGCTCTCCCTATCAAACCACCAGATTGGCATGCTCCTAAAAAGAAGATGTCATATCTCGTTCGAGGTCTAAAGCAAAGTTAAATAAGAGGGGTACCACGGTGATCACTTGTAGTGTTTGTGGTTTAATAGGATACAACAAGAGGTACCATGAAAAGGCAGAAGCACCACATAAGGTTTTTTTACATATGGGGTTTGTATTGTGTTTTCTGATTTCTAGTAAAATATATAATGTAATGTACTACATTTATACGTTCGTTATAGGAATGGTCTTTTTGAGATATAGATCCAAAAAATCAAGAAAGTTCAACTCACTTTGGGAGTGAGACCACAAAGGTAATCAAATCTACCACAATATCCTACAATTACTAAATTTGGACATCATGTAATTTTTAGACGTTATAACTGATTTCGTTTGACCCTTTTTACAGGCCAAACTAGTGTCTAGGAGGCCATCTAGGGTGCTTGTCTCTGAAGTGCAACCAGTATAACCACAATCACATTTTCAATTCATGACAAAGCCTGGAATTGGTTTAACTGGTGTTGCACAATTTGCCATTTATGGTCCTCCACAAAGTGAGCTAGATATTTTAGAAACAGAGAAAGCTACCCTTCAAACATTAGTGAAAGACTTGCAAGAAATACATAATCAAGAAAAAGCAAAGAAGGGGGCAGCCATAACAAAAAACAAAAGGGTTGTTCGGGGATCAGTTTCATATGCACCCTCGAGAATGAAAAAAAAATTAGCAACTCAGTAGTACATTAATATTGTTTGATAGATATAATTTAGTGAAGACGCTAATTATGTTTTGAAGTACAATCTTTTTTTTTTGGTTGTACGTATGACTGCCAATTATGTTTTTCAAGCTACAATTTCAAGTGCTTTTTACCTTAAAACCTGGTGTTCATAAAGTTCTGTATTTATACCGTGTCACCGTAAAACATGTGGTTTACAACATATGATTCCATGTTAGATTTGGAATGATGAAAGACTGATATTGAAGAATTGATTAGGAGCTTAAAATACATTCATCCAAAATGTGTGTATTGTACAATAAGCTTCTACTATATATATACAGAAAAATGGAATCATTTCCTAACAAACTTTCTAATTAATTTACATGGAAAATAGTTGCAAACGAAATCAATACAAACTATACAAAACTATCTAACTAATTCACTTCTATCACCATGTTTGTTGCTACCTTGTTATGAATCCATCTTAGCCTTCTTCCTGCTGACTTGTGCTCCAACTGGTTTATATCTTGCATCTTCAATATTCCACAGCCATCAACAACATACACAACACCAACAACATCACTCCGTGACTCCAACGTCATACACAACACCAACAACTACAACTTGCACATTCAAAACACCATACCTAGTACTTTTTTTTACTATAATTCCAATCACAAACAACATCCTACAAACTAAATGACATATGCTTCATTTCGATCCATGGCCGACCCACTAAACACAAAAAGGCCGATGACATTGCAAATTAGGAGGAAGCCGAATCCCACTTGATATAGCTTCAAGGATTGCAAGTTGGGGAAAATCTAAGTTGAATATTGGGGAGGTGAGGAGGATATGAGTTTCGTCAGAGGAGGGTTGTGATCAGAGTGGAGAGAGATGTGGAAGCTATAGTTCTAGCGCCGACATCAGCGAATCGGAGTTTTCCAGTGGTGGTTTATCGTGTCGGCTATATAAGGTGGATGAGGAAAATGGAAGCGCTTTGAGTTCTATAGACTCATCGCCGATCTCAGCTGTTGCCAAGATCGAGAATTACAGCGCCGATTGTGCCGCCTCTTATGTTCCCTATGTTTGGCCTGAAGGATGTGGTAGTATGGGATGGGAAAAAAAGCGTAGAGGATTAGGGAGAAGATATTGAAGAAAGTAAATGACAATTCATTCAAATTTTGGGAAGAAATCGTTTTAATTAATATCCATTTGTCAATTTGTAACGATGTTAGTGGTTAAGTAAGATTTTTGTCTGTCAAGTAGAGTTTTGCTTAATTGGATGGACGAAAGTGAAACAGGTCATCGAAAGTGAAACAAGTCATGAATGAGTAATTTTTTTTATAATTGGGTGAACATTGGATAACCATTGATTCATGGGCGAGCCGGTAGCAATCGAACCCAAATATTGGTGATTGATGATTTAATTAACTCTATTTGGTTCAATCGGAAAACTCAACGTACACGTGGATGCTCAAGGAATTCCACAGTACTGAAAAGGATCTATCTATTCTCTATTTTAATTTTTCCCCACAATTCTGTTGTAAAGATCCAGATAATCAGATCCCTCAGGTAATTAATTTGTGGGATTTTTTCATATAATAATAGCAATTTATTTACTACATTCAGTGTTCTACTGTTATTATTTTGGAATAAAAATTAAAATCATGGGCGTCTCTTCTGTTTTTTAGTTCTTTGGCCGCTGAAAATCCTCGTCTTGTTTAGAAAATGAAAAAGATAACTTTTTTATTTTTTTCTTCTATTTTGGGGGTGGGATGGGATGGTAGTAATATTCAATCTTTTCTGTGACTGAGTTTCATGATTTTTGACGTTTGCATTTTTCTTGAAGCATGTTTATGCTTGCTTAAATGCATGTATATCTGAACTGCATAATTGCTTCTATCTTATGTTCACTTTCATATCAATGATTGAGTTCTTAATGATATAATCTTGACGTGAAAATATTAATTTTAATGTTCTTGGAAGAAGTTGATTGATATTTCATTAGGGATTTTTTGTTGCTTCAGAGTATATAATTGTTAGGAGTTGAGGGAGTGAATGGGGATTCAGACAACGAATTCTCATGTGATGGTTGGTGGGCAGCAGTCTCATGTACAACAGCCAATGGCAAGACAAAACTCGTGGTACAGGCTCACGCTCGATGAGGTTGAGAACCAATTAGGTGATTTAGGTAAACCATTAGGCAGCATGAACCTTGATGAGTTGCTTAAGAATGTGTGGATGGCCGAGGCTAGCCATTCTTCTGGAATGGACCCTACTACCGCTTTCCCTGCTGCCTCGCTCCAGCGCCAGGCTAGCCTTTCACTTGCGAGGACGTTTAGGGGGAAGACAGTGGATGAGGTGTGGAAGGATATCCAGCAAGGACAAAAGACTAGGTACACGAAGGAAATGATTACCCACCAAAGGGAGCCAACTCTTGGGGAGACCACTCTGGAGGATTTCTTGGTGAGAGCAGGGCTTCTTGTGGCTGATGCTTCTCAAGGACCTGCTATGGGGTTGGACAGCACATTAACCCCACAGAGTTTCACGCCCCAAATGGGGTTGTCTCCTTCTCCTTCAATTGATGCATTATCAGATACACCAATCCCAGGCCAGAAGAGGTTCACTGGAGACCTTGACAAGACCCTTGAGAGAAGGCTAAGGAGAAAGATTAAAAATAGGGAGTCTGCTGCACGCTCTCGGGCGAGAAAACAGGCTAGCATTTAATTTGTATCATGTTCTCTTTACATGCCTTTTTTATTTGTTCTACGTCTCTGACTTGAGTTACCATATGATAATGTGCATAGGCTTACCACAATGAGTTAATGAGCAAGGTTTCATGTCTTGAAGAGGAAAACATGAAGCTCAAGAAAGAGAAGGTAAAAAGTTTTTAGTGGTATAATTATTAGTTTAAATGCATGAGATGCTAGCTGCAAGGTGATGTTGTTAAGAGTATTGGTAGTATTTAACAACTGAAACTTAACCGATAAACAAATGGACTTTTCATCCAAAGGATGCTTATTTAGTGTACTGGGCTGTGTGTTTTCGTAACTTATCCAAATGGGATGAGACTGAATATATAAAGTAGTTTTAAGTTGAAGAACAGATAAAGACAGGAAATAAACAAATGGACTTTTTATTCAAAGGATGCTTATTTAGTGTAATGGGCTGCGAGTTTTCATATTTTATCCAAATGGGATGAGACTGAATATAAGTTGAAGAACAGATAAAAACAGGAAATAATATATGATTGGAGATCACTAGGACGAGTGTAATGAGTTCAGTCAATATGCAAAAATTGTGTGACATTTGCTACTTAACAGTATCTTTGTTAAAACATCCTTGGACTCNTTTTTGCATTGAACTTTTTCTAGATTTTGGTATAAATAAAAAAAAAAGAAAGAAAGAAAGAAAAGGTAGTCTGAACACTAACAGCATACAAGTATTTCCAGAAAGAGATGGGAATCATATGGATATTGTGGAGGCACACAACACGCGTATCTTGCCATTTCTTGGGGAATAATTTCTAGTCATCATGCACGGAATTAGTTGTCAAGCGGTTGTGTGACAGAAGTGGGTAACTCTCTCAAGTCTTTCCTAAACACGACTTCCTCAGCAGATTACCCTGTTAAATGTGAGCTAGGCCTCAATGGACTGCCAGCCATCACAATAATAATATCTTAGTTAAATTACCGCTTTTGGAAAGTCCATTAATTTAAAGTTAATTTTACGTCTCAGATTTTCCTACCATTTCATCCCTAACAAATTGAAGTTGCCATCAGCATAGTTATCATATTTTTAGGATGTCAGATTTCAAGTTTAGGTCTGGGCTGGCAGCACTATAGATTTGGTTGTATGATTTCACTCTACAGTACAGCTTCAGATTGAACAGTTGCCGACAGCTTAAACTTGTATTTCTAATGCCTAATTTGGGGAAAGGTTTAGACAATCCATTCTGGTAACAAAAAGTTCATGTATCAAAATGATACATTGCTTCGGCTTACATGCCTTCCAAACATCATAGGATTAATCTCCAAATCCATTCAAAGATTTAACTTTGATGTTGCTACGTGTTGGAAAGGTATAAATTATTTTATCTAATTATTACACGTATAAGATCCTATTTACAAGTTACAAATAGCTTTTAAAAGTAAAGATTAAGTGATAATTACACAATCAATTATTAAGAAAAAATAATCCTTCACCATCATGGGCGGATCTAGCACCCAATGAGCACCGGCGGCTACCTGTGCTGGATCCGTCGAAATTTTTTTTTTTTCCCTTGACGGCCGCTCGTGCTCACCTCTCATTCTGATTCTGGATCAGCTAGTGCTCACTAATGGAAAAATATCAAGTAAAATTATCTTATTATCTTCTCATATCTTAACTTCTTCCCTCAATCTCAATATAGTATTGTAGAAACCAAAATGAGTTTCAAAATTTAATTGAATGAGCAATTTGTCCTCTTCCAAAGCTCCAGAGCTCTAATGATACTTCATAATTGCGTTTACAATGCATGTTGACTAAACCAACCAAAGAACTAGAAGCCGGTGCAAAAGAAAATCGTCATCCACCAATATAACTAGACACTTGTCGAAGATACATGTAAATAATAACACTGCAAAGATGCATGGGTTGCACTAGCAATCCACCCAAAGATGAAGAAAAAAGACTGGCTTAACTAGAACCTAGGTGTGCAAGGTGGCTAAGATAACAGAGGTGATGAAAATTGACTTGTTGGATGAGAAAACATGATTTTCTTTCATGTAGTTCAACAGGCAAACAAGGAACAGAGGAAAATCTTTCAACATGCTGGTCCAACTTACATCAGAATTAGATGCCAGTATAGGAAATCACATGAGCCCCAAACAAAGTCCAATTATCCCGGAGGCTTAAACAAATACGGTATGGCGCAAAGGTCCAGGCGGCGACAACAATATACCAGCCTTCATCACGAGTCCTTGATGGAGAATTAGAAGAGACATGTCTATTCAATTTCCAAATTTAATGCATATTTTAGGAAATGTTCTTAGTGTTTGATTTATTACCTTTTCTAGTACTTTCTTACTTATAATAGGTCTTCTGAAACCCTATAGGGGTCTTTTGCGTTGTAATGGAGGCAACTTTGAATGAATAAAAATTAATATATTTCTTCCCCAATTTCTCTCTAATATCTCCCTCATCTTCTCTCTTTTCCCCCTCCTTTCTCTTCCTCTGTTCCATTTCCCCTTCTCTTATAATTGTTCTTCTTAGATCCTGCATTAGTCCATCATAAATAGAACCACCACAGAACCCACAAGAAGAAGAAACAGGGAAAATGCCTTCACAGCACCACCAGATCCGCCATCACCAGATCAACACACTGGTCAGAAAAGAGAAGCACCATGAGGACCATAAGAATTGTATAAAATCCAAACCACGAGATTCTAAATCTGAAGCACTAGAAATGAAAAATTGCTTAGAAATCCCAATGTAAATTGAAACTAGATGAATGGCGCCATAAATGAATATTTTTATTATAGGGGCAGAAGGCGGCTCCCCCTCTCATGTCATGGGGGGAGGGGAATAGGTGATTATAAGAATAGTTTATTCATCTTCTGGGATCTTCACTTGCAGGAAAAACAAGTCTGAAGCAAAACATCTTTTTGTACGACACAGATGCCATCCTAATGATTTCTCCAATTTCAAGAATAGTGGATGAGAAAGAGGATAATTAAGTCGGAGCAAAGAAATCCAATGAAGGAAAGTAAAAAAAACAACCGAGTTTATTCAATGTTTTAGTGCCACTGAAATAGAAACTTGCAGATGGCTTTGCCACCACAATAGGACAGCAGCGATGAGATACACAAACAGGAAAAAAAAAAAAATTGGCTGGATGAGCGGCACAAGGCCACTGGAGAGCGGAAATGATTGTTAGTTTAACTCAACATAGGATCAAACAAGCTTTGCTACCATGTTGGAATTTATAAACCTGTTATAATATTTTGTCTCACTATTACAAGGTAGAAGATCTTGTTTACATGATGATCGCACAATGGAAAAATAATTCCACACCATTGGAAAAATATTACGGAGAATAATCTTATAATCTTTCCATATTTTCAACACTTGCAGTGAACACTTAATATGGAATAATGGAACTTGTTGACTTAAAGTGACTCAGCATTGGAAACTTTGAGGCACGTATCATGAGTTCTGGTAATAAAATATAAGCACGTTAAGAAAAAAATGCATATTCCTATTTGTCAAGTTGTTAAAGATGATTTGACTTGGTTAATTTTTGTGGGCCCCTTAATACACACAATTCTTGTGGTGACTTCATCAGTCAGCTTCACTGCAGCTAGTTTTTGCATGTATAAACTGTCCATTATTATAGCTTAGCCACCTAGGTGCTTTATTGCATGGTTTAAAATGCCTATAGGCTGTGAAGTTGTTTTAAATCTTGCGTTCCTACTTCTAATTTTTATTGCATTTTTTGTCACGTTATATTAAATGTAAACGATAAGTCTTCTTTGTGTTGATTATGATTTATACATTTTGTCTATGATCTCATGTCCACTTCTGATGGTTGCTTTGCATAGTAATGTATAACCCTCTAGGTTTACATGGTTTCTAAACAGTACCAAACTTGAGCGTCGGACCTTGACCAATGAATGGTCGCTGAAACCGTCTTCTAAAAATTTTTGAGTGCTAATATTTGTTTGCTGATTTTGAAGTCACGCTTTGATGGTAATCCTACCTGTAAACTTTGTAATAGTTCCCTGAGAGAGTAAAGGTGTAAGTCTCCTTATTTCAAGTGTACATGCTTTTACATATTGAAAATTTGGGGAAAAAATCTTCCAAAAACTTACTTTCAATCGTATAATTTCATTGCATGAGCCATACTAATATTTGTTATAATTGATTGGACATTTATACGGCATCTCTTTAAATAAGGTAACAAAGTTCATACAGCAATTTTCTTGTCGGTCTAGTTACATTTTCTTGTGTTCCAACGACCTTCAAATTTGATGACTATTTCATAAAACAATCATGAAAATGAAACTCTGAAGATGTCATGAGGTACATAGAAGAAAATGGATGGAAAAATAAAATATCAACTAAATTTCCAGCCAGTGAAGGAGTCTTAGTAGAAGTCGAAGTTAATCACTGCTACAAAATTGAACCTGAGAATTGTTAATTACCGACTCAATATTGACATTTTCCATTAAATCTAAATACAGACACAGAGACAACTATGAGGATATGTTCTGATCTGCAATTTTTGGGTGAACGCATTCCAGAACCATCTTAGGAAGAAGATTAAGAGAAAACCTAGTCAACTACTATTAAGAAGTTTTTTGACAGTAAAGTTAATGATTTAGAAGAGGCAGTAAACAGTTGTGTGAAGAACTGTTGAAAATGTGATAGAAGGTAGAGACGAATAAATCATTGTTCTGCAGATTGAACAGTAGGCTATAAAGAATAACGTGAAGATTGGGTCCCTAGAGACAAATTATAAGAAATTTAATAAAGTTGGCTGTAAGAACTATATCTGCAACCATTAGAAGATGCAGTAAACAGTTGTGCGAAGAACTTTTGAAAATGTAATAGAAGGTAGAGACGAATAAACCATTGTTCTGCGGATTGAACAATAGGCTAAAGAATAGCGTGAAGATTGGGTCCCATTGAGACAAATTCTTTAATAAAGTTGGTTGTAAGAACTATATCTGCAACCATAACTTTTCACTTTTCCATTTATGTAAAGCAATGTAATTATGGACGAAAGATTATATCAAAATATAGGTTGAGACTAAAATTGTAGGCTTGTATCCACCCTTCAAAGTTAATATAAAAGCATGCAATTGCATCATTGAGATCATTGGATTGAAGCTGAAGGATGTCATATAATTTTATGAAGGTTGTAAGAGAATCTCATAGTTTATCTTGTGTTTAGGGTTTTATAACGGCGGCGTTTCTTCGATTTCACTCCAGCTCAGGAAATATGGAGTGATGTGAGCACCTTCCGCACGGGCATTCTTGCCTATTAGTACATAATAATATTGCAGCAGCCTCACTGTGGTTGCATGAATAAGGTGGTTATAGCTAAGAATAGTTGAACTAAGTAATTTTCTTACTTGACATATGTGACTGAGTGGCTCAGTGTCCTAAAATTAATAAATTTACTTTTGATGACACTGTGACTGTGTCACAATGTTCTTTATGCTCATATGCTACACATTCTACCTTGACCAACTGTTTATTGTGCTTCTTTCTTCAGTCTATGCACGGATATCTAATAGATGTTGGCCTAGGCTTATTGGCTCTCAACGTGTCTGGATTCCCTGAGATAATAAAATCAAGAAATAGATAGGTCACAGGAAAATATTGAAAAGATTTGAAGTATAAACATTAAGTGCTCGTTTGGTAACGATTAAAATCCAATTAAGATTGAAAATATAGCCGTTATTGGGTTTCACTCGTCTAATAAAATTCAACAATAACGGCTAGTTTTTCAATTTTAATCCAATTTTAATCTCTACCGAACACGCCCTAAGTACAAACAAACCGAGTTTTCTATTTTTTTGTTTTGTACTCCAACTCCTTGGGAGCTTCTCTTTGAATGATTTTGTATACTGGATGGTGTCTACTTCATTCGAATCATTGAGTGATCTTTGTACCATTTGTAAATCACTTTCCGTGCTGTGTGTATTATCAAATTTTTTCCTTCCTTTTCCTCTAAAGCTTTCATGGTAATATTTTATTGTCTGGCATTAAACCTTTCCTCGCTGGAACTTCGGTTATGTTGTATTTATGCTGTTTTGACTAATAGCAACAAAGAGCACGTGCTTAACCTTTGTTAATTGTTTTCAGGTTTTTTCATTTTAAAATAGATAATTGATATGTTGCTCAACTCTCAAATTGTTTAGGTCATGAATTCTGACTTTAGAAGTTGATGGAGTTAGACTGACTTGAGGCATATTCCATTGCATCGTTTTTTCGAATGTGATATGGTTGACAAGAGTTGCGTTGCCTCTCTGAGATCTCTTCTTCTTTTAGTTGCAAAATCCTTAATGAGCGTATAGAACAGCGGAAATCGGTTCTATTTTGAGCCATTCTGTTTGAACTTCAATTATGTTCATTTCATATCTGATAATTGCTTTAGATTCATTTTATATCATCCTGTCCGTGGAAATGTTTGCTAGTTTAACTGAAAACGGGATATCATAAACCTTGTCAAAGTACTCTTCGTATAAATTGGTGTACACGATGATTGTTGTTTCAGTTCTTTTTCTTCTTCGGAGGATAGTTTTAATTGCTATTATGAAAACTTGGCTTTTCCTTCGTCCCCCTTCTCGGGGTTTGTTGACAGTGATGATAAATATCGGTTACTTTTTTATAGAGAACAAAGCTATTTCTATTTGTTGTACTCCTCTTGATACTCGAGGACTGTAACTAATATTTTTTTCTTTCTAGGAATGGGCGAAAACGGTGTATTGCAATTTTGACGAACCAAGATATCAGCTTCGAAGAACAAGTTCATTCTGACATTGAGCTGCGAAAATTTTGTAGCTCGGCTGAGCTTTTAGGATTTTACTTGTGCCTCTATTGGAGGAGTCCGTTAGGGAATCGAAATTTTAGAGTTTGCTTATGCTTCTGATGCTGGTGCTTCTTAATGTTCAGTCTCTGTATATTTATTAGCTTAAGTTTGTTAGAACTTACTGCTTATAAATAACTAGCTGAATTTTATGGCATTCCTCTTGTACTGCGAATATACGACCCCTGTTTGAGCTTTACATGTCACGACAGTCACGTGCTGCATTATCTGGGAAAAAGGGCTGCTTATTTGTGAATTATGTCAATCTTTTTGCTTGGTGAAGATCTTGATTGGGGAAGTAGCAAGTTGTATTATGACTAGATGCGCCTTTGTAATTAATGAACTAGCGACGATAAAGTGAACAAAAATATCGATTTTGTGCCCCACGAGCATGGCGTAGTGGTAAAGTAGGAATGTTTTCTACGGAGCATCGAAAGTTCAAATCCCCGCGGTGGGTGAAAGACAACATTTATGTTAGAAGATAGATGTCCTGTGGTGGCACAATTATGGTGTGCTTTGTTGTCGTAAATGGAGGTCCACAGGGAGGAAGTCGTTTTTCGAATGTTCAGCCCAAGTATCCGGTGAATCAGGGGGAACTCCTCAGGATTCCTCAGGATTAGTCTCGTGAAGATAGGACACTCGAGTCATAAAAAAAAATAAAAAATATTGGTTTGTGTTTGAAATTTTCTAAAGCGATTTTGGTGTGAATATATGAGAAAACTGCTAAAATTGAACATGCGGACGCCTCTAGCTTCTATTTTGTTCATTCATAAATTGCAAATTGAGTCCCCAACCCTTTGCCAAAGTTGCGACTTGACGTAACACATGATTTGTATGGAAACTGCAGGGATTCTCAATTTGCTAATTTTCCAAGGCTGAGATACAAACAACACAAAAATATTGTCTGGGATAGTTTGATAAAATTTTTAAAGTTTGGGGACTAAATTTACAATTACCCTCTTGGGAAACGTGTCGTGTTAATAGAATTAGAGATGATAATGCGACGAATCGAGAAATAGCGATTTATTCGTTTGGCTTGCGCAGAAGAATCCCATCAACGGCTCAGTCCTCCTCCCCAAAACCCTAAGCTCTCTCTTCGATCCCTATTGTCTCGTCCAGTGCCAATCAAGTTTGTATTTTTCTTTTATAGTTAACTACATTGTTTGGAGTTTCTGTGAATTCTTTATTTTATTTTATACTACTTGTTGCGTGTTAGAATCATTTTGTGCAGAGCCATTCAGGCGTGTATAATTAAGTAAGTTTCTCCATCAGCTAGAATTCTAGAAAGCAGTAAATGTTCTTAGATTCGTTTGGCAGCACGATTTTGTGGTTCAGATTTGTGAATTGTGGAAAATTCTTTAGTTCAATTTGAAATTCGTGGAGAAAACAATTGCGTGTAATTATCTCAAACTTTCAATACTCATTACAAAGCGAATAATTTCGAATTCTAATGCATGCTCAATAGCTCTTTTGTGTCTTCTCACGTGATGTGTTTTGTTCTGTTTTTGCAGTCTAAATGTTGAAAGGTAGGAAGGTTACTGGCAGGGGTGAGACGACAACACCCCACTGTGCTTTTGGTCCACTTGAAGATGACATAATAATTAAGCACAGGCTTCTGACCCGTACGACAACAACAAGAGGTGATCCTCCATTGAAGAAACTTCAGAAAAAGTTTACATCTTTCGCGCTGGAAATAGAGAGAGAAGCCGATAACCATAGTGACTGTGAGAGACTTGCCAAGGCCTTTTTACAGGAGATGAATACTTTTGAAATTCCGCTTCTCAAGAGTAAAGCAGTTATAGATGCTAATATTAGAGAGAAGGAAAACTTCAACGAGTTGAAAGATGAGATAAATAAGCAGATTTTACAGGCACAGGCCGATATAGAAGATCTGAAGAAACAGCTGGAAGAGAGCAAGACTGAGAGGCATCACAAAGAGGAGTGTGAGGCTATTAGGAAGTTGATTGCCATGCAGCCTCCAAGATCAGAGACTCAAAAAATCATTACAGATCTCGAGAAAGAGATTGCAATGTTAGAAGCAGAGAACACTGCTGGGTCAAGGACACTCGAACTTCGCAAAAAGCAATTTGCTCTTCTGTTACATGTGGTGCGTGTTGATTATTTACTTGCACAATTTCAATGCTTTCATATCTTATGCGATTTTAACTTTTTTTTCTGCACTTTGTATAAATTGTATTTAACACCTTATTAAAAGGAACTTATTGCCAGAAATGTTACTAGAATTCAATAAACACAAGATCAAATGACGTAATTATGCATCCTCTTGGTTTTTTTTCTATTTTTAAGATAAAGGTAAAAAAACAAAAAAAAGAAAGAAAGAAAGAAAATAGGGAAACGCGATTCTGTTCTTTGGAGTTTGTGATACAAAAAAATTAGCTGTTGGTACCATTTCATCTTCAGGCCATTGCTTTGCACCATGATATGTTGTTTCTACCAATTGTATGTTTGAATCAGAAAAAAAAAAGATTTTTTTTTTAATTTTGCCGACACTGAGGTTATGTGGACTTCTTAACTGCACTCCCACTTATAATATCTGACCTGCTGAGATTCCATTCATACCTAATACTGGGAAACCAGAATTTCCACCTACTGTAGGACGTTAACTCCATAATGAGGTGCTAGGAAAGGGAAAAGAACTCTCTCTCTCTCTGAGGGTTGTGCAAGTGTTAAAGTTTGCCTGTATTTGATTTATTGCAAGTCCAGCAAAAGGTTTCTGGACTGGATGTTCTAAGGATTTAGGAGTCTTGTTATTTGTTGCATGCAACTTCGTCTTGTTTCTGTTTTGGAAGCAAAAAGTTTTGAGTACTCTATATGTCAGTCTCTTCACATCCTAGCTTTGACATGGCAAAGTATTATGAAATCACTGCATAAACTTTTGCAGATCACGAAGTATTCTTCTCTTTAACTGCTTATGTTATGCTCTCTGAGTTGTGTGTTTTTTTTCTCTCTATTCATTATCCTCTACGACTATATCTGATCTCATTATCCTAATTATTACACTTTGTTATCCTCCTCCTATCCCCTATCCCCTGTCTCCTTCATGACCTATCCTCTTCGTCAATCTCACGCTAATATGTGTGAAAGGGAAAGTGTAATGTGATGCCATACATAAGACGCTGATTCTCCTTTATATATTCAATGGAATGTAGATTAGTGAGTCGCTTCTTTGTTTTCGTAGTGTACTTGGTAATCCTTTTTAGAATAATGCTACTTATACATAATGAGTTATATAATGATTTACATACACACGAGGTATCAAGAAGAGAGAGGGAAAGGTTTTTTTTTTTTGGTTGAAGAAATTCCGACTCAATCATATTTCACCACATTATGTGTATGTAAATCATTCTGTACATGTAGCACAACTGTCTTTTTTATCTTACTCGGTTATATTTTGCAGGTGGATGAATTGCAGAATAACATTGAGGAGGAGCAGAGAAATTTAATGGAGGAAATGCGAATGTCTTTTGATGAGAATAGGACTGGAGTTGAGGATACCGCTGGTGGTCCCCAAGCCATGGCTCTTGATTAGCTAGTAAATTGCACTTTTGCCGGGGTACTCGTAATATTTGGTGCTGCACTCTGTTTTCTTTGATTTGTCTGTACTTGACTATTATCTGAAGACAACTGTAAATCCAAGTGGTCCATAATATGATCTTTTGAAAATTCTACTGAATCTCTTCTACTTCTCGAGGGATCTCTTTTCTTCTTCGTGGAAATATTGTAAGCTCGCGATTTTGCATCCTTGTAAAACAATAAAATCAATTTTGAAAGGTGATCTGCACACTTGGGAGTTATGGCCAAGCCTCAGCAATATAGGATACCTTTCTCCTCAGCCTAGCTTTGCTTATATAAGCAGTAATGTAGTCAAAAAGTGCAAAATTCGATTTTAAATGGGAATCCCAAGGCTTGTCTTTAGCAATCTGCATTTTACATGGGTGAAATTTCTGCTTCAACCACATTAAAGCAAGTAGGCAGAGTCTCATTTCAGCTTCAACCATCTGAAATCCTTTACCTTTCTTAGCCTGCTAAGATTCTCCTTCGATGACTAGTAATGTGAGATTGTATTTGTACTGCTCTATTTCGTTTGACACACGGAATAAACCCTATTTCGGGATATTCTGTATGAGCTCTGTATTAGGCTAATCTGAAACCGCGAATGTGAAATCTCCATGTTGGCTTTCTTAATTTATATGTGAACAAGAATGCAATGGCTTGAATCGAGTGCTTTTAGATACGGTGGCTATGTTTTCATGGCGAAAATTAAGGAATGAATCCCGCACTTTGGATTTCTGATTCATATGTATCTCAAGATCAACGAAATAAGGGTTAGCTTTGTATGGTCAGATTGTCAGAAGTTGCCGGTTACCTTTGGCTAATAGCTAGCCTAAGACAAGAGGCAGTAAAGTAGAACTGGCAACATTTAAATGCATTGCTAAAGCACTTAGCAAGGCCTTATGTGGGTGGAGTAATGAATCAGAAAATAACAATCTGATAATTTTATTTTTTTTAAGAAAAATGCAAGTTCGTTTGTTCCTTGGTTGCTTCAACATAATTCCTGTCCGGTTTGTTGGCTCGAGTTGCCTACTGAAAGTCCTGGAAGTGTAACTAAGAGAGCTCTCATCTCATTCTTCTCGCCCTTTGGATGTTCATCGGTACACAATTATATAAAGGAGGTAGTAGCTTGACCGAACGGTGACAAATAAAGGTTCTCTCTCTGTCTTTCGTTTTACTTTCTTGTAAAGATATTCCGGTGTCCATGTCTGCCTATTGGAACTTGCTGTTCTGTAATGTTTTCAAGATCAGTGTATATATCTTGACTGTATATTTGTGTGTTTTCCACCTGTTTTCTTTGGAAATTACGACGATAACAAGTAAATTTAAATAAGATAAGGAATAGCCAAAAAGGGCACGAAGAGTATAAATAAAATCTGATTCAAATTAACATTTTTCTTCCAAAGATCATCTCTCTTAGGAAACATGTTAAGGTAAAATCTGTTCAGTTTCGTGCTAGCACGCAAGTGTGTGGGGCCGGGTGGATTAATTTCATACCTTATGACTATGCGTGTCCGAAGTTTTCAACTATTTCGGAAATAATAACGAGTCCTGCACCTCCAATCACAAGTGAGAGGGTGATTCTTCCTCCAGGAACCAACATGGGAATATTTGGAGACTTTGATGATTTTGAATACCTATCTTTCCAGGACATTGCAGCTGGAAGAATTCCAAACAGCACCAACACTACAAAACCCCCAACGTAGGCAAAAATTCCCCGTTAAGACCGATCTAAAAAATTCAATACGGAAAAGTGCGAAGCATATCGAATTACAATATAGCTTAAAGCAAGTTTGGCTAAGCTTAAAAGAGAAGTAAGGTTACTTTAGGTAACTTTTCATTTCTAATCATGTTTGGACAACTCGGGACCCTTTTAGTACGGCTTCTGCTTTTCGTAGAAGAAATATTTAAGAAAGTCACATTGTGTCAGCTCCCTCCAAAAACCTTCCTAATCAAACAAAGCACATCCAGAAAAATTATCCACACATGCCTAAAAACAACTTCTTAGTCTCAAAATTGACTTTTGGATTTTTGAAAGCCCTACCAAATGGGTCTTGTTCAAAAGTAACTCTTACTTTGTGTCCGACTTATTTATTTCCTACTTGGAAAATTCTATTTGTATAACCTCGATTAACAACCTCTCACATGTGTGTGGGGTCCGCATGTTTAAAAAATTCAAACAAACAAAAGAAAGCGGACCCCCCATGTGAGTGGTTGTTAACCTCGGTTGTACAACTAGCATGGTCCTACCTACTTTCACCATTAAGAGAAGTTCATTTATTTCAAGCTTAGCCAGACATGCTCTATACAACTAACAAAGTATATTATGGTTATACAGATCATATACAAACCCACACAAGATCAGTGAGATTCTGTTCAAGTAGGCAAATACTATAATTATACCTCCATACGTTCCAGCAAAATCCAGGGCTTTGAAGAATATTTCTGGATCGAGCAACGATAGTACCAACGGTGGAAACAAAGTAAGTAGATATGGCAGAGGCCTGTTCTGACCGGACGGGAGTTTCAGCACTGAAGGGGATAATTAAACCCAATATTGATATCAAGGAAACGTAAAAAAACACAAGTGTAACGTTTATTGGTATGCAGAAGAGCTTACAGTCGGCAAGGAAGTCGGAAAGGCCTAGAACAAACCCGATGTAAGATGTGGCGATCGCAAGAAGTGAGAACACATCAACTATTGGCTGCAAATCAACAGTTACTGTGTTACATATTGAAATCAAATATGCTGAAGCAATCAAAATTAGACATCCATTGAGGAACAAAAACGCTAACCCCAACAACTCCATTAGTAGATCGCAACAGTTGTAGTGGGTCTAAAATAGTACCCGACCCCATATCTGTAATGTTTCCAAGAATGACAGCATTCCAAACAAGAAATAGAGCCAGTGGAATAGCTGTGCCAATAACAATTGCCGTCCTGTAGATCAAAAGAGTTAGCTATCGTCATATACTATCGAATCTGCGAATCGGGGTTATGTAAATAGGGAGCTGTCATAAGGGTTCACGTAGTCGTCATCAAAAGAGAGAGTTTAAAGAAAACAGGGGGTGCGATTTTACTGCAATGGCGGATGAGGAAGTAGTCCCTATAAATCTTTGTGGAATAGAATTAGGATTTCTAATTCTCAACATAATCTTCATTATCAGACATTCTTCGAGTGTTTAAGATCCAACAAACTGGCACTACTCGCCATAGTATAATTGTATAATGCACATATTGTACACATTGTCTAAATAAATTATCATTTTATATGTTCATTTTGGCATATGAAAGGAACCGAAGAAAATTAAGAGTTATCACCTTACTTCTGATAAATTCCCTTCTAGATTTGTGCAAAGAACTGGCACTACATTCTGCAGCAAGAGTGAGCTTTGAAATCAGGGTTAAAATCTTTAAAAAAAAAAAAAACTATCTAAATCTGGATTTAATAAAGGCTTGCTTTGCTACCTGATAGACAAAAGAAAGTGCTATAATGGGTATACTACGAGGAGCAGCTTCGAAGTTGGCTTTCAGAAGCGCATCCCAGTGTAAGTCTCCACTTGCAACTACCTAAGAAATATGCATCAACCATAATGTGGAAATATTAACATCGATTTCAACTATTTTATCATAATATGTAAATCCAGAGCTACAAGCAATGGCAGTGGCAACAATAATCGACTCAATTACCAAACCTTCTTCTTATGATGGAGACTGCTAAGTTAAAACAATTCCAAAGAAATTCCTCAAAAGATTTAAACTGAACTGCTTGTACCCAACAGATCTTGCTGATGAATTCTATGGATAATTACAAGCATCTAACCAATAACATTGAAGAAGGAAGGTAATTACCACAAGAATTGCGAAGGATGCTATGATGCCAAATACTAGAGAACCATTTACTGCGCCAATAATCCGCTGACTAAGAAGAGATTAAAAACTCAAGTCACTTCAAAGTTCAAAAAGAACATAGAAGTCCATTTGGTGTAGGCATGTGCTCAAAGAACAGAAAGAGCGAGTACAGACAACAAGAAACTATAAATGCTCGTCTCCTTGTTTACACAAGAAATCATCAGATTGAGGTTTATACACACAAAAAAAAAAAGAAAATTTCCTGCCAAGACACAGTACATACCGGATGGATCAATTTTTGAGAAGTAAATCACATTTAAAAGTTGCTTGCATAGACACATATGCGTGCTATCGAGTATATGTGTGGAAGAAAAGTATTATCCAGGGAAATTTTTCCAGTTGTTCCATCCCCAGAATTTAATACAAGATCTCATAAAAAGAAAAAAAAACATAAAATGAGTAATAGAAGATGAAATTAACCTTCCAGAGTAGCAAAGACCTCCAAGAAGCAGTGAAAACAAAGTTGCAGTTTCCCATCTGCAATCATAATGCTGCCCATCAACACCTAGCAAACATATGAAATTACTTATGATATCATCCAAAATCTTTAAACTATTACAACCAAAGATGAATCTAATGACTACATCAGGTTTCACCTACCCATTATAAAAATACTAACTCTTAATACACAAAAGATACAACGAATCTGACCCTAATTTATGAATTAGATGCCATGTCAAGAAAATAGTAGTCATGATTTATGCCATGGAGAAACTGACAGAGAAATACAGAAATGTCACCATCCAAGTTTCATTTCGACGGAACATTATGATGCTTTTGGAAGACACTAAAGAATAATGGAGTATTAAGCACAAGAAATACACAATTTTTATCATCTGCATTAGTCATGCAGACGATAAAGATATGCCTAACAATAAAATCTGGGACCTCCATGTCCAATGAAACATGATAACTGAATTGAAAAGCACGGGACATTCTCTTGAAACTATACGGGAAAAAAAAAAAAAAAATTGTACGTTGGGAGGCCGGAAAAGTTTGTCAAAATATCTGAAGAACGAGCCACATAGGCAACAAGAAGCGCATAGTGAATGAAAAGGTAGGACCAACTGCAGAAACAACAGAACCGTTGTTAGTTGTTGACTAGGCAAGTCTGACTCAAATATATAATCAGATTTAAATGAGCAGAATTAATGAGAAGATATTAACTGAATGATTACAATTACAACTAAAATACACAAGTAAAACAATGACAATTTAAAGTAGAACGGTTTAGACTTTTAGTATATTTTTAAAATGTTAATGAAGTAAACTCATCCTACCAGGCGACCTGCACTCCAGTGCCTCCAAGGGTTCTCATAGCCATCGATACCTGAAATTAGCCACAACAAAGCACTTAATGACTTCAGAGTTTGCTCTTCAGCCATTTAAATTCCAGATCGAAGCAGCATGGTTTAGACTTCTGAGAAATAGATTTGATAATATGACAAAATTCAGGTGGTTAAGACTGGCAGCACAGTTAAGCGGAAAATACATGTTGCCTTATTATAATTAAACAGTGTTAATCTGGGATATTACAGCTTTATTTTAAAGCAAATTTACTAAATTTTAGAAGTGGTTGTCTAGAAATCCATTCTGTATAATGCGTTTTATCATTTTATGTAAGAAGAGGTGATGGCAATTTTCCTGACTCAGTTGGCAAAGAATTTCTTGCATCTGACTACAAATAACACAACACTAGCAAAATACTGATTGACTCACAATGCTTTAGCTTTACCATAGAGATTAACATACATATGATAGCACATTTTAACATTGACGAGAGAATTGCCATCATAAAATTTGCAGAAGACGGATATTCATGTAAATTACCAATGAGACACCACCAGAACCCAGCTCACACATAGTCTTCACGTTTACTTCGGCAATGAGCAGTCCAGTCACAACCTGCACCAATTCAGAGCAGAGTGTACTATGAAAACACTGTAAAACGAGAAAAGAGTATACATCCATGTGCTCATATATGCTGAAAGAGAGAGAAACGGAGAGAAACAGTGAGAGGAAGAGGAATAGAAGCTGGAAAATGTATGGATGGGCAGCTGATTTTGAGACCTTATGCGATAGAGTTTGATAATGGGAATGAGTGATTAAGTGAATCCATCTAATCAAGCAGAGAAACAAAGACTTCTGACTGAGGAAATGGAATCCCATAAAGCTTCTCAATATAAGAAAGACAACTGTTATTGAAAAAGGAAACATAGACAGATAAATATGGATTGATAGACGAGCACAACATAGTAATTACCATAAATATCCAGCAGAAGATGCAGGTAACAGCAGATGCCAGAAATCCAGCTTCTTGTGTCACTGCAGGAATTGCAAGGATCCCAGCGCCAACCTATAGACAAGAATGTGACTGCAGTTTTTAGTTATGAGTCCCACGAATGGCAGTAAGGAAATTAGGAACTCTAAGCAGCTAAAGCACAATGAAGAATCTTAGGCTAGGGTCTCAACATATTCATGGAAATCTCCCATTTTTTTATAACAATCCAACGCTTCCACTTCATCCAAAATTCAAAAGTATGAGAACATTCTACAAATTTCCTAAGAGCTAAAGTTCTTTTTTTTCAAATGAGTATATTCATTAGAAGATAAACGAAGATCAACACCTAAAGAGAAATATTCCCACAAAACATGCCCCAATTGGCTTGGTCTTAAGTTAATTTAAAGTTAGATTAGGGCACACCAGATATTCAATTGATGATAACTTTTTGGTAAATTTAGAATTGGGCACAAAATATAATAACGCAACAGAGAGAAGAGAAAGCATACAGTGGTGCCAGCAACAAGAGAAATTGCATTGCTAAGGCTTCCTGTGCATTGTTAGGGAGAAAAATGTGTCATTTACAATTCAAGACAAGACAAATTATGAATACGGAATACATATAAACTGATAGGTATTGTTATAAAGAATGCGATTTATATCCTTGGCTAAGATTTTGACACCATAGCCCTTCTTTTATCTAAGAGAAGCCAGGATAGTGACACAAAAATAATAAAAAAGCCTCTTCTAAGAGAAGCCTCAACTCAATACCCAACGATTCAAAACCCAAAAATGTCCAACATTTTCTCACACCATGCAGAAAAAAATCGACCTTTCTCGAATATAAGATTTACCAGGTTCTCTATTCAGCGTGGCTTGATTAAGGTTAGAAAACAGCCTCTCAAACACATACACTTCTTCATTTTCTTCTTCTATCAGCTGCTCTTGTCGTTGATCGGCGGGCGGTTTCTGTGAGAAACATTTGATCGCAGAACGAGAAGAATAAGCAATACAGTGTCTGATATACAATTTTTTTGTTGGTGGACGAGAATTCAAAGAGACTATTACAGAATTCGGGTTCTTGATTTCATAATGAGATGGAAATGATACTGGGTTGTTATGAAATGGGAATTTGGAACTGCAAATTACAGCTGATGAAGATAAAGAAAATGGCATCATTATTTGAAAATTTGTGATTCCTGTTCTTGATTTAGGGACTTTTGTGATTTGATGAGCAGTTTGAAGGAGAAAGGAAGTGACGTGGCGCGTAGAAATCCAAGTTCTAACCTTGGAAGATGATGTGGGGGCCATAAGCTAATATAGGACGTGATGCTACAAAAATTCCACACGTTCATTTTCGAACTTGACGATTGAGAATGAGCAGGAACGATATTTTTCAGTATCTGAAACAAAAGTTTCGAGGTGTGTCATCGTAGCCCCTCCGATTCTTAAATTAGAAAATGAGGCGGCTACCCTGGCATAAAAATTAGCTCCCGTTATTGAAGTCTCGGGTCGGGCGACTGCCAGTTATAAAAATTTCGCGAATTTTTCTTTCAGCCATTTTCTTTATTCTTTCTTCCATTTTGGTTCTCCACATCAAATTACTTCATTTTTAGTGCTTCAACTTTTACTCAAATGCATATTAGTCCCCAAAATTTCATCAATTGGCCAATTTATCCTTATTTCTTTTCCATTTGCTTATACACGTGTGAGCATATTAGTCCCCAAACCTCCATCCATTGGCCAATTGATCATTCTTTCTTTTTCAATTGCTTAGAAATGAGTCCAAAACTGAAATAAGATAAATATAACCTAACGTAAGTAAAATCCATTACTAAAACGACACAAAAACCTAGTAATATGGCCTAAATAAGTGCACAAAAATGCACTTATCAATATGGATGGAAAAAATGAGATAGACAGAGGTGGGCTATGTTGGAGTTCGAAGCAAATGTTTCTGCTTCACACAATAAAAAATGGGAAGCCTATAAAAATGGCCACAACGACAACCATTCCAGCAGAAATCAAAATTTTCCATTAGGTAATGGCAGTTTGAAACAATAAAATGGGAAAGAGAGATGATCTAAGAATAAAACAAAGAAACTCAGATGCTTGTTCCATTAAGATAGCCCGTTCATAACACGAAACACGGGAAAAGCATCACAAGAACCAGCAAAAACAACAATCCAGCAAATTTTGGTCCTTTTTCGCCCCATTATTCTTTATTCCATCACTCCTCTCCATTCATACTAGAGAGAAGGGGAGGAAATGAATTGTCTGGGTAAACTGAACAGGTCTTTCTCTTCGAAGGGAGAAGCCCAATCCCGAGAAACATTGGCAGTTATTTCAGATGTGGCTACCCGATCCTGCAACCCTGGAATCGAAATGCCATTCCCATTAGATAGAACAGGTCCTTTGGTAGACATTCCAAGACCATAGGAGAAAGATCCATATGCACTAGTGTTGTTTTGCATAAAAGGGTTTGTGCCAGACCACAGCCCACCGGGCCTCAACCTAGAACCAATATCCAAACTCCAGTCTATGTTGGCGAAATCTAACTGTAACATTGAGCTGCCTGTATTCCAGTCTACAGGAGATGACGATCCCGAAGCACCGTTGGTGCCCCCAGAAAAGAGTCCAAGGGAAGTAGCGGCAGAGAGCGTTGGTGATGTACCCGCTTTATTCCACAAACTGTTCCCCCTGGTTATTCCTCGGGAATTCATTGAGCTACTGCTGGACACAAATTGCTCCTGAGGTTGGTAATTCAGTTGGTGATACAGCTGATTTGAACTAACTCCATCTGGGCTCAGACTCCTTGTGACAGTAATAGTTGGGACCAAGCCACTGGGCTTCATAGTTCCAGCACTAGTTGGTTGCCAACCCAAAGCTGTCCCAGGTAGAGATGAGCTAACACTTGGAGTACGTATGTGCTTTGCATTCATGGATTGAGGTCGCTGCATCACTATGACAGGTTCTCTAACTGATCCAAGCTGCAGGTTCTTTACTTCATTCCCAGAAACATAATTTCCTTCTGTCCTTGTTGATGGAGGTGAAGCCTGCAAAGGTGACGTTAACGAATAGGGCATAAACGGATTTGATCCTTCACTCAGCCACCTTTTCTCCGCCAGCATGAAACTGTGCTGTGGTTCGGTCAACTCCACTTTCGGTTGCATTTTCTTCAATGACTGTACATTTTTGGTTCCAGATTCTACAGAAGATCCTACTGTCCCAGGAACTTCGGTATAATCGAAATATTTTCCATCTCTTTTCTGTTGTATGGTAGTAGGAGAAGCCAGTTTTTCTTGTGACCTCATCGCGTTCTGACTAATAGCCATTGGTAGACAGCCTTTGCCAACAGTAGAAGAATCACCGGTTTCTTCCGGCTTTGAAGGACCAGCAGGGAGCTCCTGCTTCTGTGCCTTCAAAGTTTCTTCTGCCTTTACAAGATCGCCCTCACAGGCAACTACAACTCTTTCAACCTCCTGCTTGGAGGCTTTATACCGTATTTCCATATCTGTAATCGAGGCGAGCTCTTCTGAAATATCAATTTTCAAATTACCCCCTCCATCAATATTTTTTTCCCTATGCTTATCTTCTTCGCCTACTTCAAACAGCCAAGCTACTGACTCCTCTACTCTGCCTTCATTCAGAATAAGAGCCATGGTTGCCCGTTCTTGAGAGAAGCCCATAGCCACAAGCTGTTGTGCAAGCTTTTCTAGCTTCCTTGACATAAGATAACCACTGCACTGCTCACGCAGTTCTTGAGCTCGCCTCTCCTTTTGCCTTTGATGTTTCCTCTCATTTTTCTGGCGTATTCTGTCTCTTTTGTCATTGTCAGCTCCAGGTACTGATTCCTGATGCTGAAGGGTGTGCAACATTTTCTCTTTCAGGTCTTCTGACTCACCAGACCAGCTACCAGTATTGGAAACAGAATCATATTCCACACCAGTTCCAAATGCGTTCCCACTATGATCGTCCGTCTCATCTATGTTTCGGAAACGACCATTCCCAACAAGCTGACCTGCAAAAGACACTGGTGCCGTCTCAAATGTATGGAATGTTCCTAAAACAGGATTGTATCCACTCGCCGCAACCCCACCAGGTGCAATAGCATGACCTGAATGCTTTGAAGAACCCTTGGGGGGTTCCTTCCCAGCCTTTTTGTCTTTGGACTTGGATCTGGATGCTGGAGACATATCCTCAACTTAAGCGCTAGTCCCTGCAGCCAAAAAGGATAAATCTACTCAAAAATCAAGATATGAAAACTTGAAAGATCGAAGCACAGATGTATTGAAGGTTTCCAAGTGCATTCTACTGCATTTCAAGCAAAGAATCAGTTTAATGTATTAGCAAGTACATAGTAAATATTAAACGACACTTCTTAGATTCCAAAAATACGTAGAACAGTGTGCCAAGTAAAACAAAAAATATTTTTGGGTCATAACAGGCTACATACAGAAAGAAAGAGCAGAACAAGACATTTTTCCATATTCTTCCATTTAACCCTTTCAAGAAGACAGTAGACATGAGAAAATGCTCAAGGTAAAATAATTTTTCATTTAAAATAGCTACAGATAGGAATTAACTAATTAATTATATGCTATCCTAATTATGAATAGTCGAACCCGATAATATATTAGAAACTTGAAGCTAAAATATCACAAATGCATCTTTTAGGAGACAAGATATTTGAACCACCAGAATCAGCTCTGACAACAGTATCGAATCTAGAGCTCTCACCTGTCCAGAATGAAGATAAAAACAAATAAAAAACTTGAAAAAATGTCGATGAAAGCCATCTCTTAAGAAAAATGTAGAGGAAACGCACTTTCCTCTTGAGATTCTTAAGCAGTTAAGCCAAAGCAATAATGCCAGACATTTTATACCATATAAGCTATTCAAGAATTGCAAGAAAGAATGTTCAGTAGTTCCCACTTCTATGGCTTATTGTGCTTTATGAAACTACCTTATGCTGCAGGAAAGAATCCATACGAAAAGCAGCTCTATTCACTACGTATCACATATCGTAGCAATAGGCAAATCAGCCAATAGAGCAATGCCCACCACTAATGCATCTACCATCTTTTATCTCCCAAACCATCTAACACACTATGAAATCATCCTTCTGGATCCCCTTATTGACCTTCAATTTTACAAGTCCCACGACATTTTGAAAGCCACCAGTCTTATATCATTTTCTTTCTACAACCACTTACCTATATTTTTCCATCTCACTTCAAACATATACATATACATATACCTACGTACATCAATTCTATAAGCAAATGCACTCATACCAGTAGAAAAAGCAACATGAAGGCCTCTTACAGATCAGGAATAATTCAATGATAGAAAAATCAACATTCAAAAAACAAGAACAGAAAAAATAAACCCACAATTCAAAGCTCTACAATGAACCCGTAATCAAAATCAAGCAAAACAAATCAATTAAAGCAATTATAGATAAAGTATGCGCCATCACCCGATCGATGAAAAATTAGAGAGCGCAAGGGTGTGGCCTAACCTGAACGGATCGATCGAGAGAAAAATGTTCTCTGTCAGTTCAATTATAATTAAGAAATGGATGTTTGGATTAAATTATTTGCAAGATACAGAGCACGATAGAGTGAGAGACTGGGTAGAGTGATATATAGATAACTAACGCGAGGCTGAAAAATGAAACTGAATCAAGATTAGGGTTTTTTTTGCTTTCCTTTTTCGATTTTTTCTCTTTCGATTTAGGAATGAATTTGCGTAAAATAAGAACGTAGAAACAACGGAAAGGCCACGCATGACGGCTGAGATATTATCTGTTGTACTTCTAGAGTATGACGCTGTTGTACTTTGTGGAAATATTATGCCCTTTCTTCTTAGTACAAGTTCGTAAAGCGAGTATTCCTCTGTGGCCCGTTGCAGAAGATTTTTCCATTAAGGCGCGGATGATGTTACAAAATAACGGAAGGTTACGTCAAATTAAAAAAAAAAGGTTATAACGGAAGGGACACCGACGTTATTCTTCATCTCCCTTTCATTCTATTTCAAATTGGAGTCCTTAACTTTCAATCTTCGTACATTTTAACCCTTATCGATCGAATACGAGTAAAAATATTTAGCCCCTGCCTGCCTGGTGCTGCTTCTCCCTGGATTATAATTGATTCATTGACCGTTAGTAGGCCCCACATGAGAGATGGATAGTCAAGAATTGCGGCTGAGTGCCTTCCAACGGGCATTAAAATGCTTAAAATCAGGCAAAAAATCAAGAACAGACAGAGCCTTAATTGGGTTATTCGTATGTTGAAAACTTCCTCCCACTTTTAAGATTGAGGTTGAAAAATAAAATATGCAATGTATGGAATTGCAAATAAGGAACAATGAGATCAAAGGCTTGAGAGGAGTGACAACAAGATTTTTTAATTTTTTGGAGTTACTATCATATCCTTGAAGATTTCATAATCCTATTTCCATGATGAGAATAGAGTTGATGTTTGTAAATAGCTCGTGAAGAGTGCAAAATATAACAATGAAAGCCTCCCACTTGAGCCATTATTACCAAGTTATTTACTACGGTTTGTTTTCGTATGTATATCATTGAATTGGCATGTCAAACGAAGAAGTCCAAACCCTAAAACAAAATCTTAGACAAGACAAAAATACATTAAGACATAATTCATCCAGACTTGTACGGCATTTTTACATGTCTTTCATTCATGTTCCTATGGAATATTGACTAGAACTCACGAATTATATTTTTTTGACTTTCTTTTTGCATATTATCGAAATTCTCTTTCTTAAACACGCCATACTAGTTGTGATTATCATCATAACACCATTATCTCCTACCAATACATTTGTTTTCCACCAACAAACAAAACCGAAGAAATTTTATTTTCTTGAATGACCAAGTTAAAAGAGAACAAGACATATGAGAAAAACCATTGATTCAAGAATCTCATCGAGTTTTTTTACATAACAATAACTCGGGATGCAAATACATCTACTAAGGACACGATAGATAGCGTGAAATCAGACGACAAGAATTCGAATCAGGAAAGCTAGTGAATTCAACTTCGAATGCCCCCCAATTCCACATTGCCAAAAACAAGAACAACTCCCTAAGTTATTTTAAAGAGATTACTACTATAAAATTAAGGCTGCACATTTATTTTACTAAGTTTAGAAGCCTGCATATTTATTTTACAAAGTAACTGCTGCTATAGGAGTTACCAATCGCAGAGCTGATTTAGGCATCACCAACAAGCTTGAATTCTTGCAGTTCCTTGAAGTCCATCCATGGCTTCACCCACACCTTAGCTTCGTACACTTTCTTCTTGTCCCCGTCGACTGCCTCCAGGGTTATATAGTACATGGTCCCTGCCACCACCTGCTCTTTCACATTCACTACCTTCTTCAATTCCAAAAGTGTATTCTGCAACCATAAAGTGTAGGAAAAATAAATGAGTTTTGAGACTTAAAATCCAACATTTCAAACAGTCATCATTCATTCCCACAGAGAAAAGAACATGTGAAATTCTGGCTTGTGGTTCTGTTTGTTATGCTGTGGAATTATTGCCGTTGTGCGAGCCAGAACGACCTCAGCGGTGAGTTTTCCCTTGTAAAGTTCTTTCCGAGCGGCAAACGAGAAGGTTCTCACGTTGAAGTGAACCTCTATGAATTTTGCAGATTCTTGTGTATCTATTTACGAATTTATTATTCTTGGTAATCAAAAATTAGGGTTCTTAATTTTCAATATTGTTTCCTGAATCAACATTCAAGTCTTTCACTCGTCTAGTGAAATTCTAATATTTGATTTCACTATATCCAATTTCATATAAAAATCGAACGTAATTATAATTTATAAGACGTAAACAAGAATCACGAAAGCCCATTTGAAGATTAACAAAATTAACCAAAAAGGGGGGGGGGGGGGGGGGGGGGNGGGAGGGGGAGCCGGGGAGGAGAGGAAAGGGGAGGCGACGGGAATGGGGGGAGAAATTAGGTTTTAATATACTGCCTGATTTTTACAAAAATAAACTTAAAACCTGATTTTTAGAACGGTAAACCTGATTTTTAAAAAGGTAAACCTGACTTTTAAAAATGACAAACTAAACCCCTGGTTTTATATAATTTTCCCATCATCTATTTCTACTTTTGGTGGGCCACGTTGAGATCAGCCCAGTTTAGCAAAGCCTAGTGTGCGCGGTCCATCTGGAAAGGCCAATCTTGCTTGAGTTCTAGGGCTTTATAAGTTGGGCTTGGCCCATTGTTAAACGGACTCAAAATGGTAGAGTGTCCTTCATCCCTACGTTTGCCTAATGGAAAGTTTCAAGGGAAATTTTCGCAACTACATCACTAAAACAAAATATTTTATGATTTACTACATAACATTAATAAATGTAAAAAATACTGGATGATATACATTTTATATTTACATATACTTACTTCCAAAAATAATACCATACACCTAATTTGTAACTGACCCAAAATGAATTTACCTATTTTCACATTTATCATTAATACATTTTCCTAAATAGAAAATATTAAATTAAAATAAACTGAAACACATTGAATCCAACCTAGTTACACGCCTTATCATTAATACATTCCCTAATCGAAGAAGACTTTCAAAAAATTGAGGATGGCCTGTCAGAATCAATTTTATCTGTTGAATACTCACGGTGGAATACATTTCCTCTGCATCACCAGATTCTGGCGACATTTGGGACGGATCTTACATGTTCGAAAGTGTAAATATCCAAGGTAAAATACTGCCATCTACATCTGATTTTGAAAAAAAGCTCTAACATTGTTGGGTTTTTTGTATTTTACTTTATAAATTCATCCTACCCGTCCGTAATTATACGTAACCGTCGAGCAATATTTGAGAATTTTGAATCTGAAAAACATGAATGTAGTGTCCGGCTGGTGATGACGTGAATGAATCATATTTTACTGTATGAAATTCTTTTGATTTTAATTTATTTTTGAAATCATGCTTTTGGGAACAAAAAATAAATAAATGGTTTATACCCACTACATATGCTAATCTCCCATCACATATGCTAATCTCTGTATAATTCAGCTCATTTCATAATTCTTTGTGTCCTTATACATAATCCGATATCCACTTTTAAAAATGTACGTCATTTGACCCTTTCACGTGATGATTTTGAGGCTGCATATAGTGGTAATATCATCTAATTGTGTTCACCTTCATTTCTACAAAAATTATAATTATTCAAGAATGATTTATTTTGCCATTGTACAGGAATGGACGCAATAAACGTATTTGTAGTGAATGGCGCAGATACTTTTGGTTTGCTTGTTCCTTATGGTTGCAATTACGCGGGACTTGTCGATATGATTGCGAATGAGCTGAAGGTTGATATGCGACGATCATGTATCAATATTGAGTATTCTGCAGATGTGGAAATGTCCCCAATCAGAATAAAAAATGACAGTTCCCTGCAATTTTACTTGGAGCTGAAGCGTAAGGATCCACGTATCACGGCATATGCATTACGTATCAACTTGATCGATATCTTACAACCGACAGACTATGTGCCTGTACTGAGAAGTGTGGAACAGATTCAATTTCAATCAGCTAACATCAATGGTTCACATCTTCCCACTGCTAATTTGACAATAAGAAATGAAGAAACACCTAATTTCATATCTGGCATTGAAGTTTTGGCGCTGGAGATTGAAGATGACATATATGAAGAAATTAATGCTGTAGCGACGTGGCCTGACGTACAATTTGTTCGTGAAAATCATATTTTCCGAGACAAGAATGTGTTGAAGAATACTCTTTCCTTGTACGCTATCCAAAATAACTTCCAATTTAAGGTCTACAAATCGGATAATAAGGAGTATGTGCTTAAATGTCTCTTGGAAAACTGCAAATGGAAATTTAGAGCTTCAAAGATAGGTAATACGGAAATGTTCAAGATACGCTATATAAGGGATGATCATACTTGCTCGTTGGATAGTATTATACGGGATCACAAGCAGGCGAACAGCGCCTTGATAGGCGAATGTGTTAGGCACAAATACACGTCCGCCCGTACTATTTACACTCCGATTGACATAATGAACGATATGGCGGAGATGTACGGAGTGACTATGAAGTATGGAAAAGCTTGGAGGGCTCGAGAGCATGCACTTGAGGTTGTTATGGGGGATCCTGATCAATCGTATAGAAAACTTCCAACTTTCATGAACGAGCTTAAAGAAAAGAATCCTGGGTCTATAACTGGCATAGAAGTCGACTCATGTGGACACTTCAAATACGCTTTTATGGCCTTAGGTGCATGCATACAAGGGTGGAGGAACTGCAAGCCTGTTGTCGTTGTTGACGCAACCTTCCTAACGGGGCGCTACGGTGGTAGTTTATTCACCGCATGCACACAAGATGCAAACAATGGAATTTTTGTGCTTGCTTTTGGTATCGGTGATTCGGAGAACAATGATTCATGGAGCTGGTTTTTGCGTAGATTCAATGAAGCATATGGTAAGCGGGATGAAATGTGTTTCGTTTCAGATCGTCACCCGAGCATCGAGTATGCTATACAAACAATATACCCGGGTGTTGTGCACGGGATTTGTGCCCATCATTTGTTACAGAACCTACGGACATCATATGGGTATGTTGGTAAAAACATTACGAAGCCATTTTATGCAGCTGCGAGGGCATACACGAAAAATGAGTTTGATTACCACATGAGGCAGCTTGACAACATTAACGATGGCATTCGAAAGGATTTAGTGAGTATAATTTTTTCGATTTTAATTGTAGTCACCATGTCGTTGTCTTTTTTGTCTTGATGATTAATCTTTATATGTAATATAGGAGAATATTGGTTTTGACAAGTGGTCGAGGTGTTACATGCACTCTAATCGCTTCTCAGCAATGACGTCAAACATAGTTGAGTCCGTGAATTCGGTGATAAAGCCATTTAAGAAATGTCCAGTAGATTACCTGTTTGAGTCACTTAGGCATATGTTACAAGGATGGTTTTATAAGAATCGAAATATTGCATGTGGCACTTTCACACGACTAGCTACGAAGCAGGAAAATATTCTAAGGTTGAATGCTAAACGGTCCATGGGGCTGAAGGTAAATATTCTAAGCGTGTGTTCTTTCTTAATACACAATTGTATGTCTTCAATCGAATATTTTTACTTGTTGCAGGTATCACCGTCAAATGAATTATTGTATGAAGTGACAGAGGACAGAACAAATCACATTGTAGATTTGACTGCTTCACTTCCATCAAAAGCATTTTGTGTATCGTTTGGTGTTGTAATCGAATAAAATTCATCCGGAGGAAGTGGCCAAAACATGTTTTCGTAAAAATTTGCTTCTGAGATTTAGTCAAAATATTATTCAGATTTGAAATGACGTCATCTTTGAAGAACACGTTAATGCTTGCACCCACTCTTCTTTCAGGTTCTACGAAATATACAGCTTCCTGTATTATTGAGAAAATTATGGAAGTAAGTTTTTAATCACTATAGGAGCAACATTATGATTTATGCATTATACATCTAATTTGAGATGACCAAAAAAAAAAAATTTGTTGCATAACCCAAAATAATTACCTGTTGTTTGTGTTGGATCACATACTTTTTCTTTTTGTTGCTTTGAAATGTAGCTGCATCTTCAACTGGCCTCTTGCCCTTGTCCTCCGTGTAGTTGTTCATCCACATACATTCGGAATCTGGGTTCACGACGTTTGCAGCAAGTGGACTGCTACCGAAAACTTTTGATTTTGATGCTGTATTAATGGAACGGGTGACGCGACGAGGAGGGGTATTAACGAGTTCATTCTTGGGTTCAATAATCTCACAAATTTTGTTCGAACCGCCTACCTGCTGGGTTTTGATGGAACCCATTGACAAATTGCGTTTTCGGGCCACCGCGACTAGATTCCCTTCTTCATTTTGTCGTGCCCATACGGAGCCCATATATGACATATTTTTTTCAGCAACCACGTAGAAGTTTTCAGAAAAAAGGGACTGTGGTGTTTGAGAAAGCGGGTGGTTGTGTTACGCCACGAACAATGGCTTTATACTAGGGGTAAAGACACTAATCAACNNNTTTAATATACTACCTGATTTTTACAAAAATAAACTTAAAACCTGATTTTTAGAACGGTAAACCTTATTTTTAAAAAGGTAAACCCGACTTTTAAAAATGACAAACTAAACCCCTGATTTTATATAATTTTCCCATCACCTATTTCTACTTTTGGTGGGCCACGTTGAGATCAGCCCAGTTTAGCAAAGCTTAGTGTGCGCGGTCCATCTGGAAAGGCCAATCTTGCTTGAGTTCTAGGGCTTTATAAGTTGGGCTTGGCCCATTGTTAAACGGACTCAAAATGGTAGAGCGTCCTTCATCCCTACGTTCGCCTAATGGAAAGTTTCAATACCAGCAACTCCTCTCTCTCTCGCACAATTTGACAATCAGGAGGTGTTTGAACCCCATTCTTTATGAAAAATGTATTTTGATTAGTAGAATAATGGAGAATGTATAATTAAAAAAAAAGAGAGTGAGAAAAGTTTATGATTTACTTGTAATATTATTTTAATGAATAATGCTTAGTTAAAAAGAAAAATAGAAAAAAAAATGTATTTTTGAAAAAAAAAAATGAAAATCAACCAAGGTGTCGGTTCAATTTATGAGCCTGTTGTGAAATAGACGCCACAACAATTTAGCGCCTGTTTGGTGGCAATTTTCATCCATATTTTAATGAAATATTGGACCGTTAGCTGCCCTGATTGTGGACTTCCTTCATATTGCAAGTTAGACATGGGACCCACTAACGGTATAAAATTGGATTTTAACTTTGCAAATAGTCGAGCCAGACAGGGGCTTAATTCCACTACAAACATTTCCAATTATCAAAGTATTCAATGGACAATGAAACTTGATGCGTTAAAAGCTTTTGAATTAACATCATTAAATTCTACAAACAATCCCCACTAGGAAAATGACAATCTCAATTTCCCAAGTGCCATACAAAATTGGTGTTACTTTCTCCTTAACCCTCAAAGACAACGAAAAAACAAAGGAGACTAAACAATGGTACAAAGGAGAGGAATGACGACTAAACAAAGGCAAAAAGGGGAGGAACGACGACACTGTAAGAATATAAATCTGAAATGAAACCAAGCACGAATACAAAAAAATTAGTAGAGGAAGGCATACTCATGGCCTTTCTTTCTTGGCCAAAGACTCAGCTTTATATTCACTTCCAGCAGTGACCACGAAGCCTGCTCCAACCTGAAACGACAGTTCACACACTTATATCAAGAAAAAAGACACATGTATCTCACATTTGTACGTGGTGTGAGCGAGGGAGAGAGAGACCTGACAATCCTTCAAAATGACACGCTCTTGGAGCTGTACATTACTGCAGATAACAGAACCTTGGATGGAACAACCATCTCCAATAGTGACATGGTCCATAATAACGGAACTGACAACCTGCAAATATATAGAGCCGACCATTTCAGTAGCAAATAACTATTTGTCCAGAAAATCTAAGACTGCATGACTAAAAATTATTACTCTCTTTATGTACAGAATGGACATCCCTGATTTATTTTTCTTCTCTCTTATGCTTCTTGGATGGTGCTCACAAGGTAAACTCGATTCTGTCCTATTACAGAAACCTAATTATATACCTTTACATTTGAACCTATCCGACAATGACGGCCAATGACAGATTTTTTAACGCTGCACTTGTCGCCCATCTGTGAACCATCCCCCAGCACACATTGTGGTCCCACCTAAAACAGAATCATTTACTCAATCAAGAGTAGAGACAAGAACAGAAGTGTACAAAAGAACCTAAATATGCTGCAAAATTTATTTAAGATCATTCATCTCTCCAAATAAGGACTATTACATGTAATTAAGATTTGCAAAGCATGATCATGTATATAAATACAACTCACTGTGGTTTTAGATCCAAGTACAGCAGAGGGATGAATTATGTTGTTCTGAGCAGAAAAAGAGTAGCCTGATAGGTGATTTGCAACTCCTACTACCTGATCCACTTAAGATTTGACATCAGCTCATAGAACAAAAAGTTAAGAACAATTTGAGGAAAACAGAAACAAAACATGGAGCAAAACTTCCAAACATGAAACTCACATCACGGTTTATGTCGCTAAATGCTTGAATGGAATTTAAGCGTGCACAATAGTTGCTCTTGTTTGCAATGTAAACACAACACTTGTGAGTTTTCCTAGTAATTGAGGCAGAACCATCGGGACCCAAGGCATAGAGTTCGTGAAAACTTGGTGTAGATTCATTAGCCAGAAGTTGAGACGGCAAGATTTTACTGTTCTGCATAGCATCCTTACTATTGCCATTTTCATCTGATTGCACTCCATTTGACATTAATTCAGATCTCTGATGTGTCATCAAGAATATGAACCATTAGAACTTGGCAAAGATCCAACTTCATATCTCCTAAAACAAGATTATCCCAAGTCAAACACTAACCAGCTGGCTCCTAACAAGATAGGGCAATACATCACGTCTCAAACTTTGAAAAGTTTCCTTTTGATTAAGAACATCTTGCAGAACAGATCTATAAAAAAAAATAAGAGAACAATTAGTAAAATCCATAGCCGATTGAGTTTCAAACAAAGAACAAGAACTCATTTAGATGCATAGAGCGAAATCTCGAACCTCTTGAATGCATACATATGAGCATCCATTAGATCAGAACGAATTTCCATCTACATTAGGAATGAATTGAAAGAAATGAGATAAGGAAGAAAACAAAACTTCATCAATAATTTGCTAGAAAATCGTAAATCTTCAACAACATTTTTTCACTGGCCAGTGGCCAATATCCACACAACATAATATTGACTTCAGAAACATTTCTAGAAATTATATTGGATTTGTTGTGAGACTTTCCAAATTAAATTTGGTTTATAGTTTCAACTTCCTATATTACACTGAACCCCAATACCCATGTCAAATGAAGAGAATGGAATACAATATTTTCAAGTGTTTCCATGTCCACATCTCCCAGAATTTGAAGACTGATACATATCTATTCCCAACACCATGTCCTGGTAGCTTGGTAAAAATTGCCTCGAGGGATTTGTTTTCTATTAAACACCTGTGGATTGGCAGAGGAAACTATCTACCTGGCTGACAGCTCGGAGAATGCTCTTCTGGACTCGAATATCTTTCTCAACTTCAGCTCCTATCACAAGTCACAGAGATGTTTAGTGAGTAAAATTTCTAATCCATAACATTTAGAAACACATGGATATTTTCAAACATCTCACCAGCTGCTATATGCAATAGAAATTGCTTAGTTGGGTCTAATGCTATAATGTTATACCGTCCTGGTTTCTTAGCTTTGTCCTTTGCACCAGAGGAACCTGAATCAGATGGTCCGCTGACAGGAGCAGAGCAAAGCAGAGCAGTTACTACAGCATCATGTCGTCTGTGAGCAGCTGCCACCGCCCCAGGGGGAACATCACAAACCAAATCACCACTCACAACCTACACAAGGAAATATGTAAATTGCTAAATCAATACAATGCTAGCAAACTCGAATGCCAAAGTAGATAAAATTCCAACCAAGATGTCCTTTGCAGTCAGTCTATGATCAATAGCTCGAAGAGCACCAGCTGTTCCAACATCCTCAGGAACAGCAGCCACCTGCAGTAGTTAAATTATAACCACACTTAGTTGTGGAAAAGTTTAGATAGTCAAGATACAAGTAGAATCAACTGATTTCAAATTGTATCATCCTGATTTACCAATAAAATATTATTTTACATAAAAAAAAATGTCTTCAAAAAAAGCACAGGGCTAAACCTGTTCAGATGATGTGAATCCATTCAGCATTAAGTAGCAAGTTGAAGTGGTCTTGGACCAGTCTTCTTAATTCACAAGTCATTTATAACATAATTCATCTTTTTTCAGATATGGGAAAGTACTTTCTGCCAATTAAAAAAAGAGTTGAACTGGACAACATAACTCTGTGAGCTAAAAAACCTGACCATTGAACATCACTTCATATGAAAAGGTTTATTAGGAGTAGCAAAAATATTGTTAGAAATATGGTACAAATAAAAGTTCATTCCAGTTGGAGTTGGAGCGGTTTTGAGGCTAGGAATCAGAAACCCCACTTGGCTAAAAAAAATTCCTTCGAAGATGAGCAACTTTCTTAAAATTCACTGAGATTCAGAATAGTGATATGATGTTAGTCGAACAAGTTAATAGATGGAGGGGTAAACCAGAAAAACAAAAGTGACAAGACCGATTTGCTCACTAGGAATCTAGTAGCATTGGAACAGATGTATCAATGAACCGAATGGTATGGTGAAAGTAGATTCACGTAACCAATCTATTTTACGCATTGAAACACAATTGGTCGATTAATCTCATTGACAATTTTTAGCCTCTTATCTACATGTTCCCAAAATCGTAAGGTTGTTGGTTGTCCTGACTATGCCTTTCTCTTGTTTTGTTTTCTCAGAAAGTGACTGTATTATAATGTTCTACATTCTCTTCTCTTGTTCACAACAGCTGAACCAATTTCAAAGAGAGTCATTATAGGCATTCTAACAAAAGAAATAGTTAGTCACAGAATCTAAGCTCACAATTGAATAGCTTACCAACTCTCTTCATGATAAATATTTGGGTTCATTTGCAAACTACCCAAGTTTGAACTTAGTTTTATAACTTAATTTATATAAGTATCTCTCTTTCCCTTCTTTTACATAACAGTATTCACTGAAACAGGAAACATCAATCAAAATTCACCTCAACATGTAATCGATCAATATATGTCTTGGAAATCCAAGAACTGGCAGAAAGCGCTGCGGTTTCCCCTTCAACAACCTATAATAAAAGGCAAACTCAATTTTACAATTTCCCCTCAGAACCTATCAATACCGAATTTGGTTCAAAACAAAAGGTAAAAAAGGGTAAAACAAAGCAACAGACTTACAACAATAAGATCTGTAACGTTGTTCTGCTCAAGAAGATTGAGTACATAAGACAGGACCGGCCTGTTTGCCACCGGCAATAGGGCTTTCGGCACCTCCTGAATTTTTATCCAATTGGGGGTTATTTTTTTCGGCACATAATGAAAATAAATGAATATTACAAACAAGAAACATGGGCATTCATGAGAGTGACCTTAGAAACGAGAGGAACCAAGCTTTTCGAAAAGCCACCTGCTAACACTACCACTTGAAAATCCATTCCTCTTGCGGGTTCCATATAGAGCTCTCTACCAGTTCGCCTCTTGGGCTGGAGAAGAGATCAAAATAAGATTCAACAGAGATGGGATTTTCAATTTTGAGTGTGTACCGTTCCAATTTTGCTCGTGTCTGTGTCTGTGTCTGTTTTGTGAAGTTTTGGGAGCTTCGGAGATTAAACGATAGCAACAGGCGCATGCGTATGAAAATATTTATTATTATTATTATTATTATGAGTAGTAGCGGAATGGGGATGTAGCTCAAATGGTAGAGCGCTCGCTTTGCATGCGAGAGGCACGGGGTTCGATCCCCCGCATCTCCAATTTCGTTTTTACTTGCTTTCTTAAAATGGAGGCAAAGATTAAACTTTCCTTGGGATAAATTTCTCACTATAAAATTTTATCCGAATTTTTTTTTCTTTTTTCCTTTATGATTCCATCAAAAGGAGTATTGTCAATATTTTGATTCGACCGACAAAGTTGATACAATGTAACACCGACTTTGAAAGAAACATTATATTTTGAAAGATAGACCTTCGATAAATCAATTTTACTTGCTTTTTTATTTAAGACGGAGGAAACTTGAGATAAATTTCTCACACTATAAATTATATCCGAATTTTTTTGATTCGTCCAAGAAGTGCTGCAATATTTTGGTTTGATCGACCAAGTTGATGCAGTGTAACATTGACTTTGAAAGAAACATTATATCTTGAAAGATAGGCCTTCGATAAATCATGTTGACACTAATGCAAGTGACGAAATTTATTTGGCATACCTCAATTCATCTTTTTTTCTTTATTTTTCCTTTTTTCTTTTTTATTGTACGTGTCAAAATTTTGACAACAACTACGTTAGTTATTGATTTTATAATTAATCACGTGGGACTTTATATTACCCATAATAAGTCCTCACAAGATCATAATTTGATTGCTTGTTCATATTGTTTTAAATTTGAGATTCTATTTTAAAATATCAATTTTGTGAAAGGGATCATCCAAACCCTTTTAATTTTCTATTTTAATAATTGAAAACCATCGAGTTATGCTATTGTATACACAATTTGTGTACTTTAGTTAGTAATTGTATGAACTAATGAACTATGAAGAACATTTTAGTTGGGAATTGATAGGCGTGTGCCCCTCAAGAATAACAACACGGTTCTCATTGCCATAGCCTTTTCCAATCCCGCTTATGTGTCGCAGAGAGTTGGTGTCACCAACCAAACATAAAAATAAAAACATGTTTGGTATGTAGTACTGGATAAATTTTTTTTTCGTTTTTCAAATCATGTTCAATACATGTCCGGTCCAACTTGCCGTTGCAACAAAAGAAAATAAGAGTAAAAAGTATTTGTTGAGTTTACCTAGAGTTTCGAGGGGGACCGAAACAACTTTTTTAATTTTCAAAAGTCTTACTAAACGGGCCTTAGATTGAACGGATGCTATAAATTGCTACCATCCAATTCTTAAATGCATTAATTAATTATATTTCTTTATTGTTACTTAATATAAAAGAAGGTACCATTGTCCTCTTGTATACACACACTTTGGCAGTATATTTTGAAAATGGTTATATACAAATTTTTCATTCTTTTCCTCCTCATCTCTGTTCCCCTTGTTGCCTCTGGTAATAAAAAAACCTCCTTATTTTATTAGTTCTTTTTCTCATTTTCTATTATTTCTCATGTACTTTTTATTGTACTTTTTCGACTGATGATGCAGATATCTGCCCAGTAGAATGCACGAAGTTTGACGTCACCTACGATTATTGCCTGTTTTACTGTAAAACGTACTACAACTCATCGAATGGGATCTGTGTATATGACTGGAAATGGCTTTGGATGAAAGGAAAATGTTGTTGTTGATATCTCGATATTTACAGATTACAACCAAAACTATTATTTCGTAGAACTACAAATAAAGGAGATATCTTGCCTTACTGAGTATAGTATAATTTGTCCGTTTCATTTAAAATGGAATGTTTAGTACAAACTTCTATAAGATTGACTAAAATGCGATGAAAAGCCTACATATATGATCACAGGTACGCGATGAATTTACCATAGAGTCGTTTGACAAAATTGACGACACAATTCATATCAAGAACATCAGGTTACATTTGGTGTTGCAGAGGATCCTAATCCCAAATTTTATGTGATTTCAGTCATCTGATTGTATCGTGGATGAGTTCTTCGGTTCTTGTGCTTGGAATTGCAAGAAACAGAATCTTGAGTTTCAGTTGTTTGGTTGATGTTGAATTTTGGTATTCCAAACTTCAATTCCCAGGCTCAGAAACAACTATAATCGACACCACACGATTCAAGCTCGACCCAATACTTTCCTCCACCCGGTTGCCAAAAGTCTCACTCTTCTATTAACCCACAAAGGATCAATAATGGTGGATGCAATTAACCACAAAGGAAGGAAGATGAGAAGGAAGCAATGGTTTCACTCAGAACACCAAGAATGGCTACCCTCTTTCTTCACACACAATTGCACCACACACTTCACGGTTTGGGAGGAATGGATATACATATTCAAATAGATTAGGTCACATATTATTGGGCCAAAGAACCAATTGATTGGGCCAGCTAAATAACAAGGTAAATGGGCTTAACAATAATCCAAAACCACAAACTAATCACAACCACCAAACCATCTCAAACTTGGACCTTCCAAAAGTGTTGGTAGTATTCGAGTCAAGCCAAGTTTATGGTGTCGATAAATTTCCGACAACTGTTTTTCATCATCCTCCAGATTTATTGGGTAACAAAAAACCCAAGTTGAAAATTTGAAATCGGAGAATTGTTGCACAATCTTAATTTAATAATCAAATCTCTACTGTAATTTAGAGACATTCATGAATCGTGGATTACGAGCTAGTCGACAAAAAGAAGATTTTGAAGCTGATCCAAGTGACACTAATATATAATAAGGCATCCGGCTTGAATCTTTTGGACTGATTTTCCAAGGTAATCTATCAATCATTTCAATGAACTCTACATAGAAAAACAAGAAGAACAGACAAGCCAAAGCCTTGAATGTTACAAATGATCTATGCTATATAAATGGCTATACTTGTCCTCAACATGTAATAACAATATGAAGAAATTTGTTAATCTAGTTTTTCTGTGTCTGTTCAGCCTTTCGATCCTTTGTAATTTTAGTAATGCCAACCAGGCAATTTACCTTCACAGGTTGCTGAATTCCAGAAGATCACATACTTTTCCTCTTTCAGATTCTTGGGCACAATTGCAGGAAAAAGGAGAATTTTCCCCCGTTTATGTTGCACCTCAAGATGGGTTGATGCAAGCGGACAAGATTGACAAATTGCCTGGACAACCTGATAACGTGGATTTTGATCAGTATGCAGGGTACATCACCGTTGATCCACTGGCTGGAAGAGCATTGTTTTATTATTTTGTTGAGTCATCGGCAAATTCTTCAACCAACCCTCTAGTTTTGTGGTTAAATGGAGGTACAAAATCGGCTAAGAGAAATGTTCATTAGATGCATTTCATTGGAAGAGTATAACACATTAACACTTGATATCATCTTTCCTCCTTTTTGTGCATAACAATGAGATAAATTGAGATACTGGACAGGATTAAGCCGTCTATTGTAACGAACCAAGCCTCCTTGCACAGGCCGTTATATCATAGTACTATCCGCTTTGGGGGAGTCTCCAGGATTCAAACTCAAGACTTCTACCTTATGAGAGACAAGTTGAATCTTGATATCAATTGAGCAAGTCTTGAATTTGAATCTTGGGGGACGCGATAGAAATCTATGAGGGATAAGATGGGTAGAGGCTTGGGTCATTACATCTATTGTCTATGAACTGCTGTCAAGTATTTATACCAAACATGCCCTAATTGTACAAGTGCATCGATCTTCTAATGTCTCGATTTCTTGCAGTAGACCGCTATTCATCAAAAGCTTGTACCTTTGCTTTAATATTCATGTTCTCAGCAGATAACAGAAAAGCAGGAGTTGAATGTTAATTATATTTCTGATTACCAGGTCCAGGCTGTTCATCCTTCGGATATGGAGCCATGGAGGAATTAGGCCCCTTTAGAGTCAACAGTGACGGAAACACTCTTTTTCGAAATAATTATGCATGGAACAATGGTCAGATCAAATTATAATTTCTAACAGAATCAAAGTTTCATGTTCTTGTTTCACTATGAGTTTGCTTATGGCTTCCATTGAATTTCTCCAGTGGCAAATGTGATTTTCTTGGAATCACCTGCTGGGGTTGGTTTCTCTTATTCAAACACTTCGTCTGATTATGACCGCACTGGTGATACAAGCACTGCCAATGATGCCTATACTTTTCTCGTCAACTGGCTTGAGAGGTTTCCACAATACAAAACCCGGGATTTCTACATTACTGGAGAGAGTTATGCTGGTCATTACGTGCCACAGCTAGCGTACACCATATTGCTCAACAACAAGAACACAAATCAAACTGTCATTAATCTAGAAGGGATTTCTGTATGTTCAATCACTACTAGTTTTCCTTTATATTTTAAGTTCTGTTTCTCTTTTAACAGATTTTATAATCAGAAATATTTCAGATAGGAAATGCAGTTATTGATGACTCGGCAATGGCAACAGGATTCTTCGATCATTTTTGGACCCATGCCTTAAACTCAGACGAGACTCATAAGGGCATCTCTACATTTTGTGATTTTGTGAATGGCACTGAATCCCACAAATGCTCTAGTTTTGTAGAGAAAGCTCTTCTTGAGCTAGGAAATATTGATTTATACAACATTTATGCACCAATTTGCCTGAAAACCATGCTTAAAAATGGCTCCAGCGGTTCGGTAAGCCCTTCATTTTGTTAACTGTTCTTGCTTTGTAGAAATCTTAATTAACTTAGATTGATTTGATCAGGTTAACTATTTTGATCCATGTTCGGATTCATATGTCGAAAATTACTTGAACACTGCAGAGGTTCAAAGGGCTCTCCATGTAAATCCTACAACTTGGACAGGTTGCAGGTAAAGTTATCAACTGGATAAATGTCTAGAAAGCACAAAATTTGTTTCGTCACAACTTGAACAGAATGGCGACACTAGTCATTTCTCTTTTTAATATGTGCAGAGATTATAACTGGACAGATATGCCGAGAACTATTTTGCCAATTATCGAGAATCTCATGGCTAGCGGCATGAGGATCTGGTTATACAGGCAAGTCTGTCTCTGGCAGTAAATACTTGAGTAATCAGAACATAACTACAGGGAGATGAATGGGAAATTCTGAGTCGCCTAATAACAAATGCTTGTTTGGTATGCAGTAGTGGACGAGATTGGACACTTTAATTAATAAGATTTAGCTTTTTTTTCTTTTTCTGCAGTGGTGACATAGATGCCGTTGTTCCAGTTACAGCAACTAGGTATGCGATAAACAGGTTAAAGCTTCCAATTGAGAATGCTTGGCGGCCATGGTACCTTAACAATGAGGTGAGATATCAATTGTGCCGAAGAATCCTCAAGCTGATTTGTTTGTTTTTGATGATTAATTTGAATGGCAGGTAGGAGGGTATGTGGTGGAGTACAAAGGATTAACATTTGTAACAGTGAGAGGAGCCGGACATCTTGTACCGAGTTACCAGCCTCAACGGGGACTTACCATGATTTCATCCTTTCTTCAAGGGGTTCTTCCTCCCTCTACCTAATGATCTGAACCAAAAAATTCTCCAAGGATTTGAGTTTTCCCTTTTTTTTTGGTCTTTCATAAGCCAAATGGGCAGGTTTAAAGCCAGAAGGTTGAGAACTGGATTTGAATGCAGCCAATTCTACAACTATAGAGCAGTGCCTGCCTACTTTAGCTTTGACACAGACTAAAGAGAAAATTATGCATTTTTCTTCTCCATCTTTGAACTTGAAACTCAGTTTAGTTACATAGAGTAAACTTCATGAATAACTCTCTATGGACTTATATTTTCAAAGCTATGGATTTTGAATGCAAGGGTGTCAAATTGAAAAAATGCAAGTCGACTGTACGAATACCGTATTGTTTGAATGCAAGGGTGTCAAATTGAAAAGCTGCAAGTCGACTGTACAAATACCTTATTAATTTTCAAGATTTTAACATGTTCAAGTTCATTTAAAACGATCGCTTTAATGAGTTAATGATGGAGGAGTTGAATTTTTTCAGTAGTTAAATTTGCACTCACACTCTTTATTAATTAGCACATCTTGACCTTGATGACGACAAAAAAGTCGGTTTAGAGA